ACTGAGTGCGAAAAATATTTGTACATCTGGGAATCAAAAATATCATCATCATCGGCCAATTTGGTTTGACATAGAATTTTCAGTACTATTAGACAGAAAAAAGCATGCTAGATTATGTGGACAAGGAAAGACGTAAAACAAATAGAACATTCAGTAACAAATTAGGAAACATGAAAGACGAAATTAATGAGTTTGAAATAAACACAAATAACAACAATATTACGAGAGTTGTATAAAGGCAATAATAAATTTAAAAGTCGTTATCAACCCAGAAGTAATTTGACAAAAGACGAGATTTGTGATCTGCTTGCAGATTCCAACAGCAACGATTACGAACTCAATGTTAATCAGCAAGAATTAATCCAATTTTATCTATATTATCTTAATCAATAAAAATACGCCATTTTAATTCTTGTATCTAACTTTAAAACACACAAGGACTTTCTTTTAAATGTTGAAGCCAGTGTTATATTAAAAAAGTACTTTTACACTGTCGATGTTAAATCCTTCAGCCCTCAATATGGAGGCAGTATGCTCCTCCAAAACGCTGGTATCTATCTGCAAGTCTAAACGATGTTATTACCTAGAAAATCAACATCGACATCTTCACCGGTTATAATTTCAAATTTAATATACTTTTACGCCACTCAATTTCAGAACGTGGCGCCGTCTCCTTGGGCCAACTTCCTTACAGTAGGCCTGAAGATACTGACAGCCATCTTGGGAGGTGGTACCGGGGGAGGAGATGGCATTGACAAAGTAGATAACGGATCTCCAATGCAGGTCAGTTAAAAAAAACTGCAAACGATTACAATTCCTGTGGTAACGGCGCAAATAGCAAAGCAGGAAGTTACTCTTCCAAATAGGTCAGTCCATTAACTAGACCAATTATGTTTACATTATATGCGAATAAGAGCATATAATTAAATTTAGGGCTGTTAACAAGTGAGGACGTACATTACAGATCAGCACAAAACTGTACATTCTTCATTTGAACAACGATTCACAAATGACTTCTATGAATTTCATTAGGTCTATTCTACACAGAAAAAAACCCTTCTTCTCTACTTTACTTAGAGCAAACCATAATATGCAGAGATATAATTAAGGAAGTTAAAGATGGGTGGTATCATATGGATATGATGGCGACAAATTAAATAAAGGTGAATCGAAGTTTAAAACTTTCTGATGATGGTGCATTACGTAGAATTGTTTTATTTTGTACTATGACCATAGCCTAAAAAAATACAACAATTCGGGAGCTGGTAAAAATGGGAAAAAATGCATAAAACGTGTTTGGCGCCCTGGATGAGCTATTCTGAGACCTGGTCTATGTCTGGAGTCTACAATTTAATAGCGAAATAGTTTCATTAGAATTTATTTCTTAATTTAATCTCTGCATCCCCTGTCTATTTTCTCATTTTAAACATGTCCTTCCACACATAAGAAAATAAATGCATAGACGCGAATAGAATTAAAGATGTACAAAAGTAGTTTGGAGAAACATGGTGCTCAACAATGTAACAGAATTTTAAGCATTTACTCCTGAACATAAAACTCATCAGGATATTTAATGAAACATTATTATACTGCACTTCACTCACGTAAAGCGTCGTCGATATTACGTTCACAAAATACAGTTTATTCCTATTAGAGCACCATGGTTCGAATTTTGTGGGGCATGCTTTATAGTAACGCTAGGGTGCAGGAATAACTAACGTCTGCAGAAAGTCACAGAACTACTAGAGATTTACGTTTCACGTCGATCGAAATAAAATCAGTGCAGTTTAAAACTCTGACGATATAAAAATTTAGTGTATTTTACCAAAACTTTGTTAAAACTTTTAAGAACGAAGCTGGTCTAAATAATGTTTAAAAATTCAGTCCCTACCTCAAAGAAAATACAAACCGTCTTCATTACAAAGAACAGCTGGCTATGTTGAACTATTCATTAACACGGGTGAAGGGAGGGAGTGTTAAGATGACCACCTATATCTACTGCCAATATTAACAATGCGTTCAGCTTGACTTAAACTCCTCAATATCCACGGGACAGTCGTTAAGCAAAGTAACTTTCACGTCAAGTGTGGTCATCTGTGACGCCGTGTAGACCTGTAAGAAGTAACCAAATTTTTGGTGTAACGTATAGCCAAGACTACACAACGTCACAACACAGAAGAAAACAATCGATACCTTCATCGCTGCGAAAACCTTAAATTTCCTTTGCTTTTACATTTCGAAGGGAGGGGAGGAACGTGTTTTGGGTCAACATGAAAATATTTTGGAATGAAGACTTTTATTTTGGTTACGAACTTCGTGAGCGGATAGTGTGCTCTGCAGACGGTAGTAAGCTATGCTATGTAGTAAGGTTTAGTGCTCTCCACTGAGGCCTGGTTCTGTCTTCTCCTCCCCATGCACGCCGACAGGGTATCCTGGCAGCAGTCCTCTCAGCATTGCTGGGATCCAAAGATCCCGACCAGGTAGCCACGATGGCCAAGCAGGCGGGCGAGGTGAGTTACCTAACATGCTTCCTGCCTCTGTCACACAACTTGCATGCCAACACGACAATAAACACACTTCCGTACTTGGCTATGGTCTGTCAACAAAAAGTACTGTAAAATGGACTCTTGTCCATGTTGGTCTTCTGGGTTGTGACGACGTGTGTACGTAAAAACTTCAGAGCTGAAGATGGAGGCAGTATGTTCCTCCGAAACGTTGGTACCCATCTACAAGACCTAGAAGACCACCATAGACATTTCCATCGCCGTCAGAAAGTCAAATGTCAAAAAGCAACCTTGTTTATCGCAATGGTAATCGGGAAAGAAACCCAATTTTATTCATCCCCTTGGGAGAGAAAATACAAGTCTGAAGACCTGAAGGCAGAGGTCCCTTTGAAGAGAAAGTCGTAAACAGGAGGATGATATTGAAAAAGGGTGGGAATGGACTGAATCCATCTGGCTCTAGATATGGACCAGTTGGCGGGCTCACTTAACAACAGGCTGTTGGTAATGTGATTAAAAAGTGTGCAGCTAAAAGACTAGAACGACTTAAATTATCAGATAAACAAAATATATTTGAAACCTTTCTAAAAACTTCAAACTATAAACCAGATTTGCACTGAACATAATACAAGTAGTTATCAAATCTAATTTAGGACAAATTAATATTAAAATATTTTAAACTGAGTATCATATTAAAATTATCATATGAAGCAGATAAATACTTTACAGGGGTGGAAACACAGGCTGAAAGATCAGTACCTCAACAGTGAGATTTGATATTCTCACGGCGGCGAATATGAAAATGCCTGTCTTATGGGCTGTTGCGCCACGCAGTCTGGTAGAAGTTTACTAACGTTTCGGTAATACTTCCTGCCTCCATTGTCAGGGCGACGACTCGTTGCCGGAAAACTTGTAGATGGCCATCTTAGTTCCTCAATATTTCATTTGAACGTTTACTTACGGGCTGAATCCCAGAACAACGATTACTTATTTGAAGATGGGAATATTAATTACTTCTATAAGTGGATAAACAGTTAGTGTACAACTTACTTAAACCCCCAACTTGACAACATGTTAAGAATTGCCAACCTAACAGCTGTGCAATACATTTCACTTTGCAGTTTATCAACATCGTGGTAAACTTGCTGGACGCCCTGAAGACATCCTTCAGCCACCGTTCCATGGCGGCACGCTCTCTCGGCAAGAAGGATTCCGTGTCTGAAGCAGCAGTGGCAGGCCTATCTCTGCTCAAGGTATGGGTAAATGTTCAATGTAAAACGCTCGTCAACAAAGTTAAACATGAAACGAAATGGATGTGAGAAGGATAAATTACGTGGTTAATGTTTTATACAGTTCACTTGGGGTTTAAGATAGTGAAATCAAGAAGGACAGAATGGGGGGAGACAGCGAATTGATATAGAATTTTGGTGGGAAACTCACTTGGTAAACGTGACAGACCAAAGTGCTGTACAGATAACAAAAATATGAATCTTACGGAGACAATTTTTTAGGATCGGAAGGGAATTAAATAGAACTGACGTGAACCGTCCGGTTCTGGTACTGCAGCGCCGTTGCATTTCGAATTTAAAGTTCAGAGATATAAAAGAAACTAATTATTTGCCCCTCTTTTGTAAGGTTCTGTACCGTGGTCTCTTACAATGAAGAAACTGCATTTAGCGCGCATGGGAAAGACGTAAAATAAACACAAAATATTACCTAAAGCGAAGACCTAAGCTCAGATGGGATAAGATTAAACCAGATCTTAAAGAAATATGGTATGAGGATGTTGGCTGGTTTAATTTGGTGGAGGCAGAGTCTTGTAAACAAAGTAACGCATCTTCGGTTTGCATATGAGATTTCTCGGCCAGCTCAGAGGCTAAGAATCATCTCCAGAAGGGATTCTTGCACACAAATGTATTTAGGTAAGAATAATTTGTATCTGAAGCCGAATGTTCCATGTTTCAGGGTTACGTTAGGACGCTGAAAACTACTGACGACAACTGCATGCTGAAATACGTCTGTGAGGCGAACAGAGAGTGCTCTGTCGATACGCATGGCGCCATCTACTGTCAGCTCGGAACGTAAGTAATTTCGGGAGTCACAATAAAACCAGCTTTCAGTCTGGTCTACGATCTCATACCACGTTTTATTATCGAGTCGGATAACTTCTCTGCTGTAACTCCTAGACAGCTATGGCCAATTAAATTGCACAGCTGAACAAAGAATGACGTCAAATCATGGAGATGCATGGATATTCTAATTACCGAAATGCTGTGGCGCTCAGAGTCCTTAACTTCATTGTCAGGTGCTTCACCTCACATCTCTCATTGAACAAGAAGCAATAACATTATTGATATTAAAGTACATGTATATCAGCTCTGAATAACCCAAGTTTAAGTAAAATAAAATTAAATATTTTCCGAAATGTCTGGTTCTTCCAATAATCTTACTGGAAGGCCTCAGAAAATTTCTTTCTTAATTCTGTTGACAAACTGGCCGTTTAACTATGCATCACGTAATCTAATAAGGATCTATTCACCAACACCGCCCAGTTTCTGCACAGAATCACAGCTCCATTTATTCAGTTATCTTCTGATCTACGCCTGTGTAGGTATGCAGCAAGTTTTGTCCTGGAGAGGTCGAGTGCATCGCCTTTCGACGCGTTCTACGAAGCAGGACGGCGTGGTCGTAGCGGAGAAGATTGCCGGCAACACTTCACATCTTGCAACGAAGTCTAAAACTATCTGCCGCCAACTCACCACTACCACCGTCACCATCACCATCACTGCAGTCATAAATCCATTTATATTATAAACATATATAATAATAAAATATTCTACTGTCGAAATTACTGTTAAAATGACATTGATAAAAGGCAGGTTGATAGACAAATTTCGTACTATATCTACAACGGATAGTCGAAAGAGTACTATGAATTATTAAGATTCGTTAGAATTACTTCATTACCTCTGCTTAAGACACTGAACCAGAAGAATTACAATGAGCAATCACTAAATGTACCTTTGACAAGAAAATGACGCGGATGATCTTGTTTGTGAAATCCGGTTCTAAAGCCGGAAGAAACTAGTTTTAGTAAATTACAAAATATATACCAAAATAATTCTTTCAAATATATTACTCTGAAAAAAAAGGTGATTGACATCCTTTTCACAAAACACAAGCACACATCAAAACATCAGTGTATTCTTTTATTGTACACGACAGATTAAACACACACAACGTATCATGCTATTTATTTATAACTTAATAATTTATTAGGTTTTAGATGCTCTAATTGTTCTTACAGACTTTTTCCTTCAAACATGGTTGTCTACATTACATTATTAGGCACTTATTCCATTGTTGCTATTAATGCATTGTTACATTATTATGTATTAAGTGGAAAGTAACAGTGATGGAAATATTTCATATCGATTTATTTGTATCAAGAAATGTTTCTATAAGGGGAGGTTGTGTTGCTATGGGATAAACGGATTTTATACGTGGAATGGTTAACAAGTTTCAAAAGTTTAAATGTATTCGGAAAAAAATGTTCAAAAATGTAATTTTAGACCAAAAGAGCTCCCCTAAATAATAAAGTTTCCAGCTCAGGTACCCCCACAAGATGGCTGGCTTGTGGGAATAGTGGGCCAGCTCAAAGCGCATCTGTACATTAGATGATTAAAAACATCTTCATATAACATCTCAATATCGCTAGAAAATATTGTGATTATAAATATGTATAAAACATCTCAGATTTCAAAATAATATAAAAAAAACTAGAAGTGCTTGAACCTACGTGCTCTTCAGGCGATAATTCATTGTTGCTGACACAACAACGGGATTTCTTAATCACACAGCAAAGAGATCACATGGACGCGGAAGTGCCAACATTACAGAATCCATTTACACGTGTTTTCTCTAACGTTGGCAGTTGACTGGCTCACTGTTAGGTTTAAGGTAATTTAGTTATCAGTTTTATAACAAAAAAACAATTGTTATTAAGTAGTGGGCATGTACTTGACTGATCTAATGCTATTTGTTAATGTGCAACGCTGTGAGAGTGAGATGTATGTTTCTCTTTATAAAACAAGCGAGGGAAAACAGAAAAATACATTATACAGCAGAAACTAAGAAATATGAATGCATGATAAAGAATGAATTTGAAATGCGTGGATGTTTTGAAACAAATTGTGATTTCTTTGTAACATTGCACAATTTCTATTAATAAATATTTTACACTGAATTTTCCCGCATTGATGTTCAAATACAATAAATCAGTTTTATAATTTTCACACTTGGGGATTTGGCAGGAACGCAACGCAAAGCCTCTGCCTACACAGGGCATGACAACAAAGAAAGACGCGTTAAAAATATGCATGCCTCGAGTGGAATTGAAATCCAAAATTCCAGTGTTGATCGGCCCTAGATCGCGATCCACGTCATAAATTTTCGCTCGTCATCAATTTCGGCACGAACTGTGATCCAAACCTAGTAGGTGCCAGGTTGGCTGACCTGTGGCCCCAACAATTAGGCTTTCTCTTTTCTTACCATTTTTATTACTGATGACTGAATCATAATCCAGCTTTCGAAACGCTGAAATTTTTATAATTTTACAATTTAGGCAATAGGTAAGCCCAGCAGAACAATTTTACATGATAACATTAAATTACAAATTGTATCGTAAAATAATTAATCAGGAAATTTGCGAATAAGACAGAGATAACATGCTAACTTCATGGAGTAGAGTCCGTTTTCAGAAATACTAGCCCCTCAGTTGACCGAGACATTCTCCGCCTCACGATCCAAAAGACCACCATGGACGGTTCATTAGCGCCCGTCACTGAAACCAATTCTTAGCCAGTTTAATCCATTCCACAGATGACACTCTATGAAGATCCATTTTAATATTTTCCTCCAATCTATGCCATGGTCTCTCAATTTGTCTATTCCCTTCATATATTCCGACCAAAATTTTGTGTTAGTTTCTTAGTGTTATGGCGTGCACTTTCCCTTAATTCGATCATAACAAAGCTTAGTTAGTTCCTCATTTTGCAATTGTCTCGAGTCATTTGTAACTTTCTATCTTGGGGCAAATTATTCTCTCGAGAAATATGTTTTCAAAATAATGAAATTTATGCCTATCTTTAAAACTTTCACACCCATAATTGACAAAATTGTTCGGGAAACACTTCAACAGCAATAATAACACACAAGACGGAGTTGACCTCTCTTACTGCCCGTCACGCTTCCGGTTACCACGAGGAACGGATATGGTTCTTAAGCCGCGCAATGTTCAGGTCTACGTACTTGTGTGAGGTGTCAATTTCGTTCTGGTAGGTGGTTCAACGGTGTAGGTGCGGATTTACAGTCACTTCAGTTAACATTTATGTGCGTGCAGTTGTGTTTCAAGTTTCAGTGAATTGTGCGTCGAAATGTAAGCAGTATTGTGCTTCTACTGTCTAATTGCCATCACCAGAATTCTAAAGACAGAGTTAATGTTAAACTTAATCATCAAACTCGTCATCTAGGATCACGCCCTTAGCCTGTTCCGGTTAAAAGGATTAAAACTTCATTCCATCTTTCTGACGGACGAACCTGGTATCGTCTACCCTTTGGTTTGTATTGATACAACAGCTTTAAGATTCGGATTTCATGAAGTCTTTCCAAACACTCTGCCCATTTATTGGGACAGTGTTTAATTATCGTATTCCTGTTCAACAGCACAACTTACATTAAATCTTTTCAAAACGAAATGGTAATTTAAGACGGTCTAGTGAATAATGTGTGAAGCCTAACACATGGTTACATAAATAAAATTAAAAAATTCGGGCATCCTGGCAGCAAATATAACTAGGCCCAATTACTAAGAGTACAATTAAAATTTGAAATAAATGTTTTTTTTAAAATTAAAATTATTTGTTTCACAAAATTATATCTAGTAATGTAACGTGAGTAAAATACACATCTGCAAATACCTTATACATAACCCGCATTGCGTTCTTATTAAATCTTGAAATTTTTAATACAAACTGATTTGAAACAATATAATCTTTCATTGAAATTTATTTAACAAATCAGCCAAGAAATGAGCCCACTAAAAGAGAAGTACTTATTAATAGTGAAACTTTTCTAACAAAGGAAAACAAACACAGTTTCACCACCGCGGGATGACTATAGACCTGTCCGGTTTATTGGGGAGGGGTGTTACCCCTGCAACGCATGTCAGCCGTTTAGAAATGAGCGGTGCCTCACCGATGGGAGATCCTGAGCTCTTCCGTCACGTGGAACGCGGCGTATACGGACATGGACACGTACACGGACATGAATATGGCTATGGTGGGTGAGTATCACAGTGGAATACACGTGAGGTAGTGAGCGGTTTTTATAATGCATAAAACGTTGTTTCGTTTCTCAGCAACACTTCGATACGTAATACGATAATTAAGGGCAGCAAGGCTTGTAAATGACAGAATTCATCGCCTTGATGTTGAAGGCAGCAAGGGACTCTGAAACGTCGGTAAACTTCAACCAAACTACACGGCGCAACAACGCAGAAGACAGTAACGTTCAGACTCACCTCCGTGAAAACCTCAAATCCTACATAACAAGTGCTTATTACTGCTTGAATTTCAGGGGTAAAGCAGGCTGGAAGGGAAAACACTCGGCGATGTCAGCGCTAACACTGCTAGTTTTTCTGTTCTACATCAATCTCCTTCAGGTAACAGACATACATTTAATAAAATTTTCAACTTACAAATTCTTCCAACCGTTCACAGCACCAAAACGCAAAGCACTGCACCTCCTTCCTAGAATGGATAATTCTCATATTATTCAAAGGTTCTGTTTCAGCTACATTTTCTGTAATTTACAACGTCCAATGAGATGGACAGACGATCATAAGAATGTAAAAGAAATCCTTCGTGGCATATTTAAAGTTTCTACATTGCTATTCGTTCAGAAATACCCAGGGGCCATATAAATAATTTCAGACTTGATATTTGGTAACTTGAACGAAATTCAAACCTAGTAACTCCCTAATATAGGTCTAGAGGTTTACCGCTACAGAACTTTGTTCGACTCCTTCTTGTCAAAGGTTTTCTTCATATGAGTTCCGTTTCTTCCACGCTTAGAGGTTACATCCATGAACTACTTCCCCATTATACCAAAATACAATGATTCATACAAAATATGTTTCAGTTAGTTCATACATAATAATAAAATAATTAAATGTGTGCGAAAAAATGGTTTAACAGAGCAAGGGATATCATCTTGCGCTTCGCCCAACATTCCGTCCTCGGTTATTTTCATGGTTCTGGTAACGCCACTCACTGCGTGTTCGTTCTCTTTTAAACAATTCTATGTTCTGTTCACGTAATGACACAGGATCCAAAATACTGGCTCTAGGCTATATTAAAATAACACATTTATCAACTGAACCCTGTAAATATGAGTGGGGCACACTGACTTTAGCCTTCTTATGCTGCCAGACATGCATCCAGGAGAATATGGCGACAACGGGAACTACTATGCTGATGTTGGTGGCACGAAACCGTAGCCGTCCACTTATTCGTCCATCGCGACAAATACGCCAATCTGAAGGACAGATAGATGCTCTACCAGGACCGGGAGTTTACTGGGACACGAATGTTTTATTCCGCCGTAAAGGAGAACCTTGGAATAACTGTTCGGCATCGGAACAGAAGCACAGCGCTCGCATTGTGGACGACGGAGTTGCCCAGGAGGCGAGCAACACAGTCACAGCTCGCGACGAAGATAATTCTGCACGGGGCAAGACAACAGACTTCGATGATTATCAAGAGAACAGGGATCTATTTGTGAAAGGTTTGAAGTCCAAAGAAGATTACTCAGAAATGGGCAAAAAATTATCGGTAAATACAACTTCTTTCCTGCACAAACAACTGCATGTTTCTGACAATGAATTAACACACAAAGATGACGAACTATCAGGCACAGAAGATGACAAAGATTTAACACTGACAAACACTGATCACAATTATCACAAATATTATAAAGAAAGCCAAGATTATGACTTCAGTGATGACAGTGATGGATGGTACTATTACCATTACGAAAACGACAATAGGCCGCAGATAGAAGTCTCTACACCTGAAGCCAACGATCGAGGACCAGTAGACGACAGGTACAAACTGGAAGAATCAGAAAATCTTTACCCATTTACGAATCTTGGAAGCTCTGTTTGGAAAATCATGACTTCAGTGTCTAATGCAGTTATACAGCGACTTTACTCGGGCATCGATGTAGCGCAGTGTTATGGTCTGGTTGTCTGTGAAGCACATCGAGTTGGCACAGCCTGGGGTGACTCGGGGCTCTTGTTGGCTTCCAGCCTCAGGTGAGATCATAATTTCAAGTTTTAAAAATATCAAACTTATTTAGAATAAAACAATAACTAGGAAACTCACAAGAGCACGTTTTTCTGAAGAGGTAACAGTCACTCAATCAGACAAAACATCTCTCCGTTATAAACCCCACAGGTTCACGATCGTGTTCACAACGGTGCGCTCCCTCACATCATATCCCGTTAGTATAAATTTTAATATTATCCTTCTATGTCTCTCAATTAGTCTCTTCCCTTCATATTTTCCGATCTCGCCCACTTCATCCTCCATCCTATGTGGACCAGACGCTCCCTCGACCGTTTTACATCATAGGAACGTGGATATTCTGATCAAAGGCGTGATTCTTGTTTGACGGTTTTATCGATTCTGAGTCGACTGAGTTGCACTGATCATTTGCTATAGTAAATGCAAAAATTAAAACCAAGAAATTAAACTTAAACCTATCTAATATATATATATATATATATAAATTTTCCTTCTGTGGGGGCGGGGTAGTTGTGATGTTTCCTATAAATCAGATTTAATGGTTACTATGATGAATATTCGTATCTTCATAACTTAATCGGAGAAACATTTTTTAAAACAGCGAAATCCATGTGATCTGACTGATAAAAACTTGCGAGTCCCATTCATTACTCAGAAACTAATTTTTGCTTTGTTAGTTTTATAATTCCGTCCAATAAAATTAAATTGAAAAAAAACTGGGGCAAACTTTGTATTTCAAGGACAAGCTGTGGCCATATCGAACGGCATCTATTAGATTCTGGGATCGTACCGAAACTAATTCAGGAAAACCAACATGGTATTTAATGACGCTGTATTAATTTTCGCTGTTTTTAGTGCTAATGATATAGGTGTGGGAATGTATTGGCAGTGAACAACGGTAACACATAATTTGAAAATGTTCCTCTTTCAGCGAGATTATGATGTGGCTTTATGGAGAAAATGATGAAGACAGGAGACTGATCACCAAAGCAGCGGTGGTCGGAAGACAGCGACAGAGCTGCAGAGTCCAAATGCAGCAATGCGAAAACAAGAGTCAAGACAGATCAATGTTGCCTGCCATGGCGACAGTTTTGGAACTGCTTTTCTGATATCGGCATGTGAAAACGCATCTACGACATATATCGATTTGAAATCTATCTCTCTTGCCATGAACATACTGTATGGCAATGTCAGTAACATCTTCTCTCGAAATGTTAATGGAACTACTTGAAAGTTTCCATAGATAAATTTTCTTACGTCACCAGGAAATATATATAAACAAAACAATATATTACTGCTACATAAAATTCGCAAAGGGTAAATAATTCGTTTGGTAGCTGTAAAAAAAGTCTAGAAGTTTCTTATACGTCAAAATGAAGAACAGCATGCATGGAATCTGTCCTCATGTTGTCGTATTATTAAAAATGGGCACAGAAAGGTCAACTGAGGTAGCGGGTTTGGGATAGGCCGTGGTGTTGATTTTCATTACTTGCAGTTATCGGGTGAGGAATGTACACGTACAATATTAATTAACGCACAACACGGAGCAGAAATTAGCCAGTTCAATCAACAATTTTTCTCTCCGGTATTAACAGATATCTTACGGGTCAACCAGGTGGAAGGTAAAAAGTACTTGGAGGTAAGAAAATGCGATAAAACCAGCAGCGAATATATCTTTAGTTCTTTCTGACATGTCGCAAAAGAACATTATTTATAATTGATTTAAAGTATGTAAAACTGTTTTTTAAGCATTTCCATTAAAGCTTTGTATTAGCACGCAGTAACTGAACCGAGTGACAAACTATTTTCTATATGATTTCCTTATTTTCTGTTTCATACCCATTAACCCTTTGAAGCAGAAAATCGTCTGAATAATATTTAAGAATTTAGTCCGTACCGTAAAGAAAACACAACACCAAGTGGTTAATGCTGTTTAGGGAAATAATCGCTGTTTACAGCGAGAATCATTCGAAATAAAGTACAAAATTAACAGTTACCTATTGTTGGAGCAAGCTGAATATATTTACCATTTGGATTTAAAAGGTTAATTTCTTCCTCACACTAAATTTCTCTTTTCTTTATCTCGTTTCCTCCAATTTTGTTCCTTTCATTGGCGACACATATTCCCGCGTGCCAGAAGTTTTCTCTGCAACCCAACATCTTATATAAACTCATCGAATTAAAATGTCATTCTGAAGCATCTCTTAGTAGCTATAGTATTAAATTTGATCAAAAACACATAAAAGTTAAAGATGCTTTTCTGTATTCAGGACGCCTACACAGCAGAAAATTTATGTCCTCACTAATAAAACGCGTATCTACACAGCATTTCAACGCAGAGATTCTTCGAGGAAAAATATTTAAACGCCCAAATGCATAAACAAGAACTGGGATTCCTGTGTGACTTGTTGGATGCCATCAATCACAACGTTCTAGAGCAATTTTACCGCACAATTGGCCAGGGTGTGCTTCCACATCGAGCAACCATGACGTGTAATTTGAATTCAACAAGGGAACATAGACCGGTCTCTTCTGACGAAGTCAACGAACTCCTGACATTTTCCCATAAAATTAGGTCACAACCTGGATTTAGTCCAAAGACAGTTTTTTAAACAAACTCTTAACAATGAATTCTGCTGCCAAGAGCAAAAGCCAGATTATTATTCGCAAACACATGAGGAAATGTTATGTACATATGTTTGATAACTAATTATGTGATACAGGGGAAAAATATAATAGATATTAAATACGGATGAGAATGTTAAGTAGATGCACTTGGATCAGGATAATATCAATACGAAACCCAACGGTTCCAGAATCAGCGGAGAATTTCTTGACAATAAGATAAACTATCAGACCCTGAAGAAGTGTTCTGCTCCGCGAAGCTACTTAGTTGAGAAACAACTACTTTAGAATATCAATAATCTGTCAGGAAATAATTAGATTAGATAAAGTTATAATTAAAGACACAGAAGTTACACAGGCTTTGTTTTCGTTACCAAATGCGTAATTGTATTAATATAATAATAATAATGTTAAAGTAGAAGTGGTATTAGCCATTTTTTCGTTCGACATGTGTTGCACAAACAAGTTCTCACTTCTTCGAAACACAGAGCTCTTAGAATATTTAGCAAGCGCCTACTTATTATATATAATACCCGTTACATTATGATCTGATTTCGTATCATGTTCATATAATATAAATTTAGTCAAATTAATTTACAACTGGTTCCGCAGCTAAGTTTACAAAGTTATCAAATCAAAACACATCTTGGTATCTGAGTTTACAAACATTTCTTTCTGAGAAAGGAGTACATCACGGGAAAGTGTGGGTTTCACAGGATGTCACTTGTCTCGTATGACGGAAAAAAATGAAGAACTTGGATTCGTGCTTAATGTAAAGTGGGAATTACAGCGGATCAAGAAGGGAGTATCAACACAATTTCGCAATCGGAGATATCTAACATAAAACACTGGAATGTATGTAATGCCACGACGCGAGGCTGCTGTAGACAGAGATACAGGCAGTTGCATTTGAGCGTGTGAACACTAAAGACGCACATTTGTCAAATAAAATAAGCTTAAGTGTCGTGTAAATCAACCAGTTTGTCGATAAGCCCTTCTGGCATCATGCCCTCGGTATAAACCGAAATGAAATACGTCTGACAACTTTTGGTATAGCTTACAATTTTATCAGAATTGTTTAAGCAGCTAATTCCGGTAATGAAACAGTCGGACAAATGAAAGTTATTTCTGCTTGGATAATAACAGAGAACTGAGATTTTAAATTTAAATGACAAAATTTAACAACGTAGATATCAATTACGGTTAAAACAATAGTTTTTTTTTATCAAGACCGGTGTAGGAAGGACAAATCCTGGAAATGGAACAAGTTCCGAGTATAAAACGCGGCCGGCGATGAGGAAACAAATAAACATCGCCTAGCACTCACTTTATGCACTTGTGGGGAAAAAAAAAAACTTAATCACTTGCTTGTATAAATTTAGCTAGTCACAGAGACATGTTTCTGTCTTACGTGTACCTCGGGCTGTTATCCGCTTCGGTTTACGATCCCAGAGCCCAGGTTTAGAAGACGGAGCAATGTTTACACTTCACCGCACTCCGGTTCCTGAGTCCCACCCAAGTTGAATGTTTATCTTATCCCTACCCGGCAGACCTCCTTACACCAACCTTCTTAAATGAGGTTTACATACTGCTTTTTGTCACAATATAAACCAAATGGCTGGGATAAAAGAGAATACTATCACCACGCGAACTGTTCCCATTCGTCTTCCAACTGAATTTACATTAACATGTGTTAAATGTATCAGTATTATAAATTACAAGCTTAATGAATAATCACGCTTAATATACGCTTTGCAGATGACACAAAACGCACGCTTTAGCAATTGCACGTGTTATTTTTTAAGAAGGTGAGACTCGTTCAGTTGGTCAACAAATTCGTCGCATTTTATTGAACCCCTAAAATCATTAACCCCTTCACAACAGCCCGCCATTGGTATTTTTTACATGCATGTGTTAGCCTCTTGTAATTGAAGAGCATTACTTAGTTGTAGATAAATAAATGTATGAAAATTATTGATTCTGCGCACTATGAGACTCCACGAAGACGTAGGACTATGCAAGAGTGAAGGCACATCTTCACCAACAAACCTGTTGTCTAATTATGTTGTAGCAGAATACGGAGGTTTTTTTTTCTGTCTGACGACAGGTCCATATGAACAGGATCCTTCCATCCTTTTCTCGGACTGGGACCTGTTCATATACGTTCTTGGCAGATGATCCAGAAGTGGTTTGCCATTGCCTTCTTCTGTGTGTGAATGGAGTAATTGTTGGGATGCCACGGAGGAAAACTCCGTGTTGCCTAGACCACGGCCTTGCCCAACACAAGTTATAAATTCGGGCATCGCCGGGAATCGAACCCGAGACCCCAGGATTACAAGGCCAGCGTTCTAACCGCTAGACCACCGTGGCAGATAACCCGGAGGTACGACACAGCTAATATAAAAGCCCACCACAGCACACAATCCTCTCTACAAACCATATTCGTGAGATTTTCATGTTATCTTTGCACCATCTTCTCTATCTACAAAAGTAGCCGTTTTCCAAGAGTATTCACCACTAAAATTTTGCGTGTATTCCTCAGTTTTTGGACGTGGTAAATTTCGCTGCCAGTCGATTATCATTAGAAAATTCGTACAAAATCTCGTTCGCTGCGGTGACATCAGCCCTCAAGTCACCTAGCAATAATATTCACGTGGCATGCATAAAACGTTTTAACTACGTGTTCTAAACTTGTCATAAAAGCTATCAAAACATCTGTCACTAATTCTACATTTTGCAAACACGTATTTGTTTCATATGATTCTCAGAGGAAACAGAGATTACTTCCTTAAACAGCATTAACCAACCGACTGATATTTGTAATTAATTGTTTTGTGTTATTGTTTTCTTTGAGGTACAGACCGAATGTTTAAGAGAGAACACGAATTTCAGATTCAAACGTTTATAATTTACGTATATTTCAAAAATGTGTATAGTTGAATAAAAATTGATGGCAAACACTCACATTTTATTGGCAGGCATTTCCACAGTCTATAGACTATATATCAACAAAGAAAAGATTCGTGGTTTGCACATCTGGTAGTTTTTGAAGAAAAAAAATTGTATTTGTTAAGAGATAAAAAAATACAGCTACAATACTTCGTGGTGCGCAAGAATTTAACTTGTACACAAAACAGATTCTAAGGCAGACAGGTGTGATTCCACCACGTTAAATGCAGGACGTGTTGAAAAGTCAAGACACAGCCCAGACGACGTCTGATATTCAACAAACAGCGATGGTTTAATGCAGTACGTTGTGATAATCAAGAAGCAGACGATTTCAAGGTGTTAATTCTGTTATGAAGCTATTCTTGATTAAGTAAGATTTGAGATTCTAACGGCGGAGTATCAAGATGGCCGTCCTCTGGTTTGTAGCACCGAGTAGTCTGGTAGAAATTTGCCATCGTTTCAGAGGTCCTTGCTGCCTTCACCATCATCTTCCTGTTCCGTCTTCAGCTTCCATCTTTTTCATGAGCGGTGAATATTTTTCTTCTCTTGGTGTATAAAGGAACGGTTGTTCGGTATGGAAGATTATTTTAAAATATTAAGATAAACGAGTGACTTGTAGGAAACAACACAAACCATTTATTTCAAAAATAATCGCTCCATTTTTAAGTTTCCGCAAAAAAGACAATAACAAGCTTCCTTCTTCAAAATACCTGATTCATGAGTTTTTGTACCATACAATGTTGCAACATTTTCTGTTTTGAAAAGAGTTTTAAGCGAAAAAAAAGCCTGTAACACTGCTTCGCCATACAATATCCTGATTTTTAAACAAGAAACCTGTCCCGTTAATTCTTCTACGTCAGTTTCCGAACACACACTGACATACACAATAACATAAAACGAAACCAGTTATAACTAATTAAGTTTTAATGTTAATTGTACTGTTACAACCGTTGCTGAATTTCTTTTGTAGGTATGACACCCACATATGGCATCTGGATACAATGCCTTTAATTATCGGCATATCTGGATCAACGTCGTTCGGAAACATCACCACAAATCCTTAGTTGCCAACACGTAAAGTAAAACACGAATAGACTTCGAACAAATGCCTCTCCGTTTACACGTTTTACCACAATGCAAAAACCAATGTTTCATCAAAAACAAAATTGAAACATTAGAGAATTTAAACAGGTTTTGTCTTATTTCTGTCACACTGTGTGATCGTTTCAGAAATACGAAGACATTAACAGTTTCTGAATTAATTATCCTCTCAATTTCATCCTGACCACAGCATTAACAGGCGACATAGTATCAAACCTAAACACAATTTATTTCGCACAATATAATAAACACATTTTCATCTATGAAAAATTACACAACCATTAGAGGCTATTAGACGACTGCAGTCTTGACACCGAAACAGGATATTTGTTAGGGCAACCTCTTGATCATGAGAAATAAAATACGTACTTTGGATTGGTTCTTGTTTAACCTAAAGCCTTATGCATAATCATATGTTTAGCTATCGGAGAACGTTGTCTGTCGTCAGTCTTTCCTATAAAGATTCTTTTAAAGCCCTCTTTGATATGGTGAACATATGGCGACGTCTACAAGCAGAAAGTTCTATAATATACCGAAGTAAATTAAGCGATTAAAAAAACCAGCAGCACTATGCTGCTTCTTGTATCACTAATAAACATCATGTTCTTTCACAGTTTAGGCAGACTTGTGAACTAGTTAAAACACCCTCGACGCTTTGCTCATAGGCCGCCATGTTTCTATGTTTTTAACGAGGTGCGGGTCTCATAGAAACCACATGGGCAGAGATGCTACAAGAAAACGACGATCAAAGCTTATTATGATATGGTTAGGTTTATTCACAGTTTAGGTTTAGGAAGAGGCGGTGGTAAAGGGGATATAGCTGTGGTTAAAATGTTAGCCAGATTCTAAACACTTTTCTCTGTAAGCTGTTGTTTGCTTATGGTTCTCCGTATGCCGCTGATGTTCAGACTGCGTTATCTACTCTACATGCGAACAATTCAGCTTCCTTACCAAACTCATTAACTGAAAAAAATTCATGTTCAAATTTTACAAAAAGACGTAAAAAAATTATGTACGTTGATATGCTGTCTCCAGAATGCTGGATAAAAATAAAATATAAAGAAACAAATAAGTTAAAACATGGTAACATTCAAGGCAAAGTTAGAACAACACTGAAGTTGCCATTCAGTTCAGAATCTTCGTCTTCCTGTCTCCAATCCAATAACATAATGCTTAAATACGGAATCAAACTGTTTCCGTTTATTAGTGGTTTGCAACTTGGTCTCTCAAAATAGGGGAAAACAAAGGCTGAAGATATTTGAGAACACGTAAAAGAATATTTAGACCCTTAAGAAAGAAGGTAACAGATGCACATAATTTGTACACCACAAAATATTATAAGTGACAATATAAAGGATAAGTCATGTGGGGCATTTAGAAATCAGAAGCGCATATACAATTTAAATTGGGTACTGAAGATATGACAGCACATGGGATACCGGCAGATAGATAATATTAAAATGGATTATAATAAAATATGGTGTGAGAACTACATTCAATTGACTCGGGATAGATTCCAGGGGCAGATCAACGAACAGCACTACGTCGTTCCTACCTCACTAGTTCACACGACCGCAATGTTAGCATCGTCAATGGTAGAAAATTAAAGATTATAAAGGTTAGATGGATAACGCTATAGTGGCACAATGTTCATAAAAAATTTCTTAAAAATCCATCGCAATAAACCTGTCTTTTAAAGTATTAATAGTAAACGTGAAGGAGTAACGCAGAGACGTAAAGGCAAGGCAGGAAGGCATAATCCATAGGAATCAAAATTTTTACACTTTTCTCACAGATGTGTTCATAAAAATTATATCAGAATATGAATGACTGATACCAGAAAACAATCGCAATACTCTTGCGTAAAAATGTACTTCACCAAATAGCGACGACTTCAACAGAATTTAATAAACAGATTAAACCAATTTCAACAAAACCGGCTCACAAATTCATTTGTTTAAAGAAACCCTCTGTAACAATTTTAAAAAATCAAGACAAATAACAATAACACTAAGTAGCTAGATAATTTGGTTATATCTCAAATATTACAAACACAAAAATTACAGTAATATTTCCAGTGATATTCAGGGCACAATTTTTTTTATTTAAATTATGATATAGTATAATGGGTACAAAAGAAGTTAGTTTATTTCAGTTACACACATTATGTAATGAACATTAAGTTTTACAGGCAATAAGTCAGTGAAAACATTCTTACAGCTTTTTATAACATTCATTTCCTCTACAAATTATTTCTCATCATTGCGTTACATTTTAATTTCTTCTTCTTCTGGCACTATCTAGACACATTTCATTTTCAAAAGAAAGTTCTGCATCACTTTCACCTTCCTTCGGGGGTCCGCAGCAATTTCACTATCATCCTTTCTTGTCGAGTAACTTCGATCCAACTAGCTGTTCCAATACAATAAAAATCATCAGTGCTGCTTGAAGAATGTCTCATTTCAAGGATAAAAAATATGAAGTGGATATCATCACTTTAAGCACAATTAACAGCAAATGACGTACTTGTCATAGACAGCCCAGTTTCTGTTTTCCAATCGCACTGTATAATCTTCTTGTATATCCTCTTAAGTATTTTACTCTATTTCTACATCCGACTGACGAAGTGACAAACCATAAAAACATTGGCAAACTTGGTTGGTAATGATAAAAAGAATGATCATCCACATGTCTTGGGGCGAGACTTCAACATGCATGCAAAAAGTTAAAAATGTCAACGGGGGGGAAAAAACCCCAAAAACTGAATATGTAAAATTGGAGATAACACAATCTTGCCACTCAGTTTATTCCACTTGCTCTTGCCAGCATGTATTTATATGCAGAAACAATATTTACCGCAAAATGTGTAGGTAAATGCCCGATGTATCACTATACAAAACTTCGCACTGATGGCTCGTCAGTTATCACCACCAAAGTGGAAAAGAAAAATTTTTACGTAGAAACCGTTGTTTGATGATCTGCTACCACACAACATTTCAGGATCGTTATATTACATGGCACGAGTGTCATTTCCATCTCACAGGTTCATGGGTCCACCATAATGGTATAACTGGTTGCAGTAAATTAATAAGTACGTGTATAGAGCAGCTCCCGACGGCATAATGTCCATAATAAATTTCAGCAAAATCTATCCATCAGTTCTTGAGGCAGATCAAATGGACAGACGGGATCAGCCCCGCGTCTCTTCATTCCATGCACATAACACATAAAAATCTTTGCTGAGAATCAAGTACGCCAATACAGATATTTTTATAAAGAAAAACACGTGGTAAGGTGTTACATTTATTTTGCTTTAACACATCTGTAGTCTACAATTATAGACACATTATATTATCTGAAACGCTTCTAAGTTTAGATTTTTCACTTGTTATAAAGACAGCAAAATCTACGCTGACTTCAACACGAAATAATTTAAAGTCAACACGTGAAAGGTTCTTCATGAACACGGTGATAAGTTTCTATTCTATGTAACAGTGACGCAATGTTAAAATAAAATTCTTGCATTTTTTCTCTGTATTTATGTTTGAACAAAAATGTAACTATTTCCTCAAAATAAAATTTTACATTCCGAGCAATAAACCATTCTTCTTTGAGTTTAATATGTGATGCAGAAGTTTCAGAAACGCGTAACACAATAACAGTGACTAAACTAAACACCAGAAGCATCTTCCTGAAAGCAATAAACCATTTTATGTAATTGGTGTTCAATAAAAATGTAGAAAAATGAACTCACGTCATGAATTTAAAATAAAATTATCAATATTATATGCGATCAAAATGACAAAAATATATAATAACTTCACTATTATTAATAACAACATGTGTACTGTACCAAGACAGTTTCATTTTGAAAAGTTTTATTTCAAAGAATGCAGACTATGTTCTTAGTTTAAGCAGTATGCAACGTCGAACTACCATATTGCTACCACTGTTCAAATTGTATAGTTTTTCTGGAGTTATCAGTAAAATCCTTTCACGCATATTACCAACAAATACAAGTAATTCAATTCCTCGGGCAGTCAACGTAAAACAACTACAAATCAACCTTTGTGAAAAGAGACATGTATTTTTACTGTGCATTTCTTTCTTATAAGAAATTCAGTCTTACCTACACTTCTCTTAAATGTATTTGGTTTGAGTTAAAGCACCCTCTCCGAATGTAGGATCAGTCATGCGCGACCAATCCGTCTGACCGACAACAAATCCGATCGCCCGCATCTTCTCCTGCTCACGACGTTCTTCTAGATCGGCCCATCGGACCTGAAATTCAATTCCAGTAATTATTCTTCAGAAGTTAAGTTGTTTTAAATATAATACAAAGTAATTAGTATAAAATTGATAAGCCACAGCAGTGCATAATAGCTACCCCAACACGAACTGATCATTTCCAGAATTTACAAATGGACATTCATGGTATTAAACAAAAAGTTAATATTTTACCATCTTTTTGCCAGGCGTAGTTTTTCGTTGATTATAGTCATCTGTCAGCTGCAACCAATCCTCCAGCGTCTGTGGTTTGTCTTCGGTCTTGTGCCTTTTTGCTAAGCCATCGAGGCGATCTGTAAGTCAGAAAATGTCACAATCACAATTCCAGTACTCTAAGAAATCTTAATATAATATGCCATTTAACAATTTATTCATGCGTAACAGTTGACCCTCTTCCCAACCGACAAAGATGTAAAATTACTTGTTAAGTTATAATCTAACTCAGTGGTACTCAACCATTTTTGTTCGCGTACCCCCAGATATAATTTCTCTTCAACTTTGTACCCCCAAAGTTGTTGGTGCATAATTCAAGTTATACATAGTATATAATCTACATCTAAAATATATTAAATAAATTACATTACTGATTATTCAGTGTTTATCATAAAATAATATGTATTTTTTTAAATTTCAAGTACCCCCTAAGGTCCCACACCATAGCCTTGCGGTCTGAGGCATCATGCTTCGGACCGGCGATATGGAATGCGCGCTGGTTCGAGTCTCGGGGGAGAAGAAATTTTCTCATGAGCTTTCGTCCAGTGTGTGGGACCGGTGCCAACCCAGCAAAAAAAGGCTTTGGCTCTCTGGGGCTGTTACGCCACGGATTTAATTTTAATTTAAGTACCCCCTAAGAAGTTTTTGTGTACCCCTGGGGGTATGCGTACCCCAGGTTGAATACCACTGATCTAACCCACAGCAAGCCTGCAGTTATATATACCTCCTATTAATGCTCTAAGTTTGATAAAACTAACTTAACATAAGTGTATTTCAATAGACTTGGCGACAAATCAGATTAATTCAATTTCACAAGTCGCTAAGTCTGACGAATACTGTAAATAAATATCCCTTTATTGACAAAAGTACTTGTTGGACTTTTAAGGAGTTCCCAGCATAAAAGAAAAATTATGCATAAAATACACATCAATGAAGTTTAAAATCTACCAAGACTTCAAGAAAAGCACTTTGACACTTTGAACTATAATCATAATTCTAGTTACATTTCCATCAAACAGAGCTACAACTTCAATGTAAAGCCCTTAATACTATAAATATAGACACTAGAGCATACACTGATCCTAAGACTCTTATGGATACAATTTGAAGCTATGACAGAAATCTTCTTCAAAATGTCCTTTCACATTAAAGAAATGTTCATAATAAATATATGTTTGAATATGGCTGACTTCTCAGTTGTAGTGTGGTAGGAGTTCACCGGCATTGCAGAAGTACTTGCTGCCTCCATCATCAGGCTCTGATTATGGAGGAACATGTGTGCATATAAATATAAGCATGCATTCCTTGCCCTTTTATTTATTTAAATTTCTACCTCACAATGATCTTAAGTTTAAAATTACAATTTATTTACAGAAGCAACAACACAGTGAATTTGTCAAAATTGTTATGCTATGAGTACACTTCTTAACATATAATTCTCTAAATGTATGCATTTTGCAGTTTTACTTACCTACTACACTTAAAAATATACATAAATTCCAAACTTAAAACATGTAAAACCCCCAAAAATATTAAACTTACTGAGTTTATCACCAGATGGCTCCATCTGCTCCCACTTGCTGGTGAACACGTTCACAGGTTCCTGAAGCAACAACTCTCAAGGTTTAGAGCAAACAGTGTACAATGAATGAGCATGTCAGTTATCTCAGTGACATCGACCACAGGCAATTCAAAGCAAAACTAACAAATGAATACAACGTAAACACAACAAACACATCTAAGCTGAAAGATGACTGTCTTCTGGGATGTAGTCTGGTATATATCAAACAACTATTCAGAACTTACTTCCTTCATCATCAGGTTAAGCCCCTACATTCCAGAAGACAGACTTCTACATGTTCCATACATCAAGTAGAGAGGCACAACCCAACTTCATGTTAACTAAACGTGCCATTACTGTAAGTGTTAAATATGAGTCAACGTAAGAAATCAACCCCCAAAATTGATTCACATGTCATAGCACAGAAAAGACAAGTTTTACAACTATTGCTCAAAGAACTGTTAAAACATGATCAACGTTCACAACCACATTCAGTATTCCATAAAAGACAGTTCACCTATAAACAGAACCATCACAGCTTCACTTTACTGCTGCATGTAACAAACACCTAACAAAATGTTACAAATGGAATAAATAATAGTTTCATTTGAAGCAGACTTAATATCTAAATTTATTTTTTATTTTATCCATTATCTGTACTTTGGGACACATACGATGTTTTCCTCCTTGCGGCGGTGCTGGAGCACAGGGTGACGGTGAATACAAACAGCTATTGTACAACACTGCGGCATATGAATAAGGCAATCTGGATGAAACACCCTGGCTTGCTCACTCACAGAGAAAGTGATTCTTCTCCAATAAAATAACTGCCAACAACTCCTGACAGTTTTGACAATCCACCATACAGCCTGGACCTTGAACACAGTGTCTTTGAAGAGACACGCTTCCGATGTGGTGAAAGCTGAGGTGCACCAATGGGCGCTAACACTGAATCCTGATTTCTTCTTTACTGAAATCGAAAAACTGCTCTGCTGGTAGGACAACTATCTCGGTCACTCTGGCGATTAAGTTCAGAAGCAGAGATGTCAACCATTAATATTTATTCTTTTGGATGTCTATGTCAAAGCAATAGATATGAGTGTAACAAACACTCAGAAGTTACTTACTGAAAATAACCAGTACATTTACTTTCTCTCTCCAAAGGACTGTGATGAATGAACAAAATTTTGAACATTACATGTAAGAAAAAATTCCCATGTACAATTAACATTCAGGGACTGGAACCAAAGTACAATAAGACTGATTAATTACATAAATTAAGTATTCGACAAATGTCCAATCAAAAGCAGGATAAGAAGGATGCATGAAAAAGGTAGATCCTGTATACAGCATCCTCTGGTGCTTGACAGATTTATACCACATCCTTTAAAGCCAAATGCATGACACAACTTCATTTCATCACAAAATTGTAATTTCAAGAATATATAAAAAGAGGCTAGCAGGCAGTTCACTAACATGAAGTACCAGAGATTAATATTTATCTCAAATTGGGTACAGGCATGCTGAAACATTTTCAGTGTCCATAACAGAAGTCTTTCCATGCTGATAGAGGTCTTTTGGGTTGTGATGCCATGTGTACGTGGTTCAGTGGTAACCACCTGAAAGGCAACATATCACAACCCAGAAAACAGCCAACAAACAACAATATCTTCATTGCTGTGAAAACATCACATCTCAGAAATCTTTCCACTTTTGAACTTCAGCAACCTTAGAAACCGAGTCCTGTATGCTGTTTTCTCTGAAAAAGCAAGTTTTACCACACTGAAAGTTTCAAAATGCCTTTCATTCCCACAGAAAATTTGCCTGGTTTGAAATATGACTTTATGTACATCTGATGTTCTTTAAAGTCTGTCACATTTTAAAAAATAAAATGCAGAAGATTCAACACACTGTATCTGCCATCAACTAGCAGAGGAATTCTGTACTAAACATAAAAGAATCACCTTGCAGTCAGAGTGGATATTTTTTTTTTGTATGACACAAATATTTAACTTCAAGAAACAGATTTATTAGCTACGGTAAAATTTTATTCTAAAACTAAAGACCATACAATCAAATAAATCTATGAGTGAGGTTTATCTCCTAGCCAAGAATCTTCATAAATATAACAATCCAATGAGTTTACAAGAACATTTGCTACACACTGAACTTCAGTTTCTGTGAAATACAACGCAGCTGCAATCATCTCTGAATGACCAGACACAAGAGAAAATTCTTTTACACAGTAGCCCAATTATCATAGTATTACAGACCGAATAAATGCAACTTACTCGATACACAAATCAGACAAAAATTCATCACATCCCTTCACACTATGTAAGACATATTTTTACAGACTATTACTGTACCACTAACAAACAGTTACAGCAGAATTACAAATAACCTGATGACTACACAGTGGTTTTCATAAGGCTGAGAGCGGAAAGAAAAATGTATGCAAATCTAGCACAAGGACTTGTTACACAGAACACAAGCAGAAATGCCAATGCCACATGAGGTGAAGTTTTGCTGCTGGAAAAATTCTCCACTGTAAACTGAATAAAGGACCGTTTTCTTCATAAAATATAACATATTTCTCAGGTAAATATCCGAACCCTCCTTAACCCATGTGTCCATGCTGTAAGCTGTAAAAGCAGGGGCTTATGTTGAAGTACGTGAAGACTTGTCAGAGTGAACTATAATGGGCACCCAGACCCTGGCACACCCAAGGAAGTTTAAAAGGGCTGATAAGAATCCTGAAAATAAATGACTAATGGGACTATAGTGAGGATGTGACAGCTTCAGATAGATGGTTGTAGATTTTGAACCCAAAAACAAACTAGCATCAGTTGGATGACCCACACACGGTTGAAGCATCTTAGGAAGAAGAAGCCTACAAAATGTTGTCACCTGAGCGAAAGAAAATTCACACTTTGCCAGTACGATGAAAATAATACCTCCATATATGTAAGTCACTTGCTCGGACCTCGGTAATGTACCAAAAACATCTGATGACAAGAACTATGGATGTATTGAATCAACCCAAAGGGCGAAATGAATCAAATTACCTGCCAGTGTAGAAAATGTTACATGCCAGCTGTTGCAAGATATTGCATAGGATTTAATAAAACTATGTTTTGACCACAACTGAGTTACATGGTGACTTTTCACTTGCCCTATACAACGTTAAAAATGATGGCAATTAATGCATTTCTGGTGCCTGTGTTTTGGAATGTGACTGCTGTAATAATCAGTATGTATTTCATTGACTACTGAAACCAGCATCTTATTCAGTTAAGTTGAAGATTGACTGCTCATAAACTATGACCAGTCATTGGTTTATTCACTTATTGCCATAAACATAAACACGTTTCAGTTTGAGACAATAAGGCTCTTTCATGAAGACTCAAACTTTTCAGACAATTATGAACATTTAAGCATTACAAATACAGAAAAGTTTAAAACTTTATCTGCAGTCTTCTACATAGTGACAATACTACCCAAACAAAAGTCATATTATAAAAGCTATCAAAAACTCTTGTTAAATCCAATCAAATCCATTCATACATACACAAGAACATATACAAGAAGAAACAGTGTGGATTATACCATGCCTTTCCACTCATGTAAGATGTAGCTGCAGATACAAGGACTTATGAAGTGAACTCCCTGCATGGTATAATACACACAATATCATAAATTTAATAGCCAGAACATACTGAACCACATATACTGAAACATATTTCCTCTAAACGTTGTGTCTATTCAATTTGTAGACAAATACTCTAAATTCTGAAACCAAAATATATTGTTAATAAAGTATTTAAACAACTTATATTAAAAACGATAGAACAAACTGGAGCTAAAATGCACGGTTTGTTTCAATTTTACTAATCTTACAGCTCCCATAACTACTGACATCAACCACAATATCTTGTAACATTTGAAATAAATGAAGATGTTTCACTTTCTAAATGTATTCATTATATCAGTAATATGGAACTGTTCTATTCTGTTGAAATCCTTAATAAGGAGCCTTAATACATATATATATAAAAGTAGGTTAAATGCATGACAAGAAAGAGGGTAAGACGAATGGTCATTACACAGATAAGAAGTACATACAACTGCAAATATTCCACTTAACTATCACATTTATACAGTTTTAATAACCATGGAACAGAAATGTTCATAGCTTGCAAATAATGCAGATTTATACTTAAGTGCCATGATGAATGAAAAAAATCAATGTAATGTTAACAATAACTATGGTACCAAAATCAAAATATAGATACTTCAAGTTAAAGCAAATTCACATTAAAAAAAGAAAGATAAAAACATCATACAGCTGATTAATGCTTGGAGACTAGAGGAGATCCTCTATTACATATCAAAACCTGTTTGGGAGCACAAGGTAAAAGCAGGGGAAAGGGCAACACCATTCCCCTTGATTAATACAAAGACCAAATGGCTACAAAAGTCAGAGTTTGCTAGCATATCTTTTGTTACATCTTGCAGATCTTAAATGTGCCAATACAACAGACCAACCGGTGGTAAAAATGCCAACAAACCATGTTATATGGTCAAAATATCCCATCTTCATGTGCTGGTACGTATGATGCATATATGAAGGTAACAGTATTTTCAGTCTTAATGACAAGTTCTGAAGTTTAATGAATTCAGCCTGCAGTTTAAAATATATACGCAACAGAACAGTATGTTTATTTGCAGCATCAATCATGCAAATGAGCATAGCACATAAATTTGTGCTCTGGTGTTCAAACAAACTTCAAAATTAAATTTATAATTATATAACTTAGTTTCACTGTTAATTCCAGAAAGAAACAACAGAAAACTGCTGGAGCATTAAGCATAATCAATGTTTCCTCTTACATTACATCAATCGCACGAACAATCAAATTAAGAAAAATACATCAAACACATGACTGAAAGTTATTAGTGAACATTACATGTCAGAGTTATCCATGCACTTCATTTAAACTTCTCAAAAGCCAAATGAGTAACCAACACTCCAGAAATAATCACAGAGAAACAAAAAAAAGTGAAGAAGCCTGTAAATTTTAATTTCACAACATGTGTTAAATTTCAGAAATTTAAACACAAACTACAATGAGTGTAAATCACATTTTCAACAGGCCCTATATAAACTAAATAATGATTTTCCTTCAAATCATATAATAACATAGAACAATAATTCTGCAGATGGACCACTTGAGATGGTGCATTCTTGTTGTTAAGACATGTTGGTAAAACATAACAATTACCTACATTTATACCTCCGAAGTGGTAAAAATTCATACTGTATGTAATTCACATACAGATTTCTATTTAATAACTATTTATAACTGCACTTTTGTTGTAACTACGTATAGCTCATATATACAAAGCAACTTATTAGTTCTGATAACTGACAAACAGAGAATGCTTGTTCTTAAAAATTCCTATGTGCTACCAAAATTTTTCAGTCTAAACATAGCTGGTTTCACCAAGATTGGTCAAAACAACAGTGATTATATAAAATAACAGCACACTAGTGAAAGTTCATTTAATTCTGCCACTACTGTCATTCCAAACAGTTCCACAGTATCCAGAGAACTGAAATGATATTTATAAATTTACAGAGTCAATTAACAAGCTCTTCTATTATAGTTGAATTCAGTGCATTCAATGATCCATAAAAATGCTTATTTCAGTTTAATAATCAAATTGAAAACATATGATCAAAATGAGGATTGCCAATTTCACAGCTCATCAATCACAGAAAATGTTAAGTTCTGTTGTTTACTTTCAACATCTATGCTGTTTGAGCACAGTGAAAAACTTGTTTGGGTTACATTATAATCAGCGTGAAGAACTATGACAAACTGAGCATTGCAAGTGACTCCTGCACACATACATAAAGCTTTCATAAGGCATGAGTGAAAATTTTGGTCCTAATGAAAAGAGTGATAATTATTGCATCAAAATGATTTCATAAATCAAAATAAATACCATAACATACAAAGGATAAATGTTTCAAATGTAGGTAAAGTACATTTAATAAAAAGGAATAAATTACATGAGGAGAGTTTTCACAAAACTCTTTGCATAACCATTTATTGAAGAAACTGAACAACTATGTACAGGATTCAAACTAATGAATACTGATATTTTACTATGTATACAAACTGTATTACATCACACAAACAATATTTTTTTTATTGAAACAACATGTTCAAAATAATACAAGTTCTGCAAAAATGTTTAACGAATTACCTTTTTCTCTGGTAAATGCATACCAGTAACTCAAACATAAATTTATGAAACAATGATATTCAAAAGGGACACTTAATGTAACTAGTAAAACATTTCCCAGTTTTCATACTTGTATTTGAAAAAAAATTACAATTCAAACTATGGTTAGAACTTTCTATAATATACACATTATTTCCAAACATTATCAGCAACTGTAACAATGGACTTTCCTCTTCTTTGTTCACCTTCTTCATCTTTTTCTAGAAGGAAGCTTCTTTCTGACTTGCAAATTATATCTTCCAGTTTTTGAAGGATATTAATTGACACGAGGTGTATTTATAAGCAAGTCTACCCGAATGTATATTACAAATAAATTCAATTGAAATATCCAGAGTTCTCTTGAAGTGAAATAAAAAAAATATCTTCTGTGTTTCTAAAAAAAGTAATTCTCAACATCCCCCCCCACCAAAGTTTCACTTTCCTACCAAACAGGTACTTTTAAACAACAGACAACAAATATCCTGTGCATTTCATGTACTTATTAATAATATCCTCAGCTCTGAACAGGTTATTTACAGTTCTGAACTTCCCCCTGATAAAGTCACATTATTTATAACACCACACATCTCTTTATTCTCATTATAAAGTCTTCTGTTAATATTTAGTTTTGCTTTGTTTTTGAAGAAAGATTCTTCTCAGCTAGAAAATGTGGTTTTTGAAAATTATCAATTGACATGAAAATAATTTATTTATAAGGCTAACTTTTTTTTTGTTCGTTCGTTCGTTCGTTAGAATAGCTTATAAGCAAAATTTAATCCTGAATATAAAGGACAATGAGTAATAAAAGTGATGCCAGTTGGTTGGTATCTAAAGACCACAGGGATATACATCATTAATTTTCCTGACCTCTGCCAACCCTAGGTAAGTCTAGAATCCATTTCTGAGGTTGAGTACCCATACAGCATATACAATTGCCTCCAATGAGAGGGTGATACAAAGATGAGGTACGCTGAAAGGACCTGCAGTTTAATACGGGCTTAAAACCATGGCAAGAGCCTGGTATATTTCACTTCCTCGAAATTGTATTTTTGGCAAAGGCAAATGCTTCAGTCTGTGAGCAGAAATATCTGACCAAGGCTCAAGTGCAAAGCCCTCTGAATAAGAGTCCTGCGTCTCACCCCGAGACTAACTAGTCAGCTAACAAACAAGATGAAGACTGTGGTCTTCTGGGTTGTGATACCATGTGATCCTGTACATGGTTACCAACTTCTTGGAGGAATATATTACATCCAACCTCAACCTGAACAGCATAACAACCCAGCAGACCACAATTCACATTTTCATTGGCATGGAAACCTCAGATCTCATATAAAATTCTGTATTTTGTCCAACACACAGCACAGCGTTCACATTTCATAAAACCAATACAAGGAAAACATGATGCGAGACTGCGAACTGGACTGAATTGGCTCAGTATACGATCATATATCATAAATCAGTGTCAGAAATTAGTTAAGAACCTTCTGGGCTACTGTCTTCACTGGTGATAACAGAGAGGTTCATTCCTTCATTTGCAACCTTATTATTACTTGTCTGAACAGCAAGACACCAGCCACATTCACCTCCTCACAGACAGGAAAACTGCCATTGATAAACGTTTTTGTAAAACTACTTTATGTATCTGATATTACAACAGCTGCTGAAAGTGAAATCCACCAACATCCAAGTAACTTTAACGTGAACATAAATGCTGTAAAATACGCTACGCTAATCTTCTGTGGTGTCTATAATAACACTCTAGATTCCAATCTATAAAGCCTCCAAATTGTGTGGACTACTTCTGGTCTAAGTTTCTGCACAGAAAAAATCACACAGAATTTACACGGCTATAAGAATGGGAACTAAGAGACACTACTAATTTCTTCGGGCAATCATCAAAGTGACTTCTTTGGATTCGAGCCTTGTTTGATGTCTTGGGAGAGTTTCTGATGTCCACAGCAGATGTGGTGTCACACCACTTCAGCTGCTTGTCAAGGAGCAACATATAAAGACTGGCACAGATTAACCTCTCTGGCATTGTTTACCATTTTGAAGAACAATACCAAAATAATGATCAGCTGTTCTAAAAATTTTTGTGAATTAACAAAATCAAGCAATTCTGGAATTTGTCCATCATGATAGTAATATCAGAAACCCTGTAATTTTAAATGTAGTACACTATCGTCAGAACCCTCCAGAACTGAAAATAAGCAAGTGGTGCTGACACGGTTACAAGAGTAACAAAAAAAAGTTCTTAGCAGAGTCAAAAAGTATCTGATGCACTGAATTGAACACAATGAAGAACAGGGTGACTAAAGTTTAAAAATAAAATCATTAAAATGCTGATACATTTATGTACTCAATTTCAATAATGTACTCTTCACATACTGATCAATACTCATATAGAAACTGCATATCCAATTATGGATAAATGGAAATAGAAACAAATTAAAGCTGATTTGTAATGTCTGAGCAGCAAGTGAACTGAAAGTTGCAAGATAACTAAAAATCTTATTTTTTACACTGAAGAAAAAAGAATGAATGGACGACAACATGATTACAGTTCTTGTAACCCAGCCTAAGTCACTGCTTTTAGAGAACAGATATGTTCTAAAAGCTGAGTTACTAAATACGTCCAATAAACAGTAATTCCCCCCAAAAGGTTCAATTATATGGGATAAAATTATCCCAAATACTGAAAAATTATTTACACCAGTAGCAATAAGCATCTGTTTAACCTTTGTCAAACAAAACTTACAAGTGTAACATATTTGAAATATTTTCTTGTATGGTGAATGGTTAGCAAAACAATTGGTGAAACCAGCCATCCACTTAGATACCTCTGAAAATCCACAAATATCTGTATGCACAAAAACAAAGCATCGTCATAATGGTCCATATAAAATATTTACAGAACATGGCATGTACATAAAAGATAAGGCAAAACTTAGGTTCATACCATTTTTCATGTAATATTCCCACTGCAATCCATATGGATATCACAAATCTTCTGAAGACAAAACATGATTTCAACAAATATAATAACACACATTCATTCACAAGAACCGACAACTATTTCTACACCTATACAGCATTTTTATTTTCAGTCTGTCTTACCAGGATTCTCACTAGAAGACTCTGCAAGTGGCCTTACCTCATCTCCGTCCTGATTGTCTTCACCTCTCCCTTCATCATCCTTCTTCACCTCCTGTTCCTGTTCATCCTCAGCTGTAGTGTCTTCCATTTCAACCTACATCAGCCAAAAACAATTTAGAGTAATGCTTCCATGCACTACATTAACAGATAAGCATTATCAAGACCTACAACTCTGAAACTGGTTCTGACACATATGAAGATTTAGATTCCATATGAAAGCAAAAGCATGTACCTATTTTATCCACAAACACAAGGAAAAGTAGTCTCTGAATGCAAGTTCACATCAGGCTGCCTCACCCTTCATCCTATTTACTTCCTCCCATGTACACCAAAATCTTCAAACATGTTCCTTAAATTCAGAGTTTTCAATCAAAATTTGCATTTCTCACCTCAAATTGTGAGCTCAGTCCCACTAATTTTAGTCTCCTTGATTTGATCACCCTAATATTTAGTGATGGGTAAGAATTATAATGCTTTGCTTCAAGCAATTTTCTCAATCTTTCTTTTACTTCTATATCAGGTTCAAATAGCCAAGACACAAAACACTATAATACTAACCTCTGTGATAGCAATTGACTGAAGAAGCGATCGCACGTCTACTCGTAAATGATGGCGTGGTGTATCTTCCCAGTTCTTCACAATATCTGCTATGTCATCCTCCGTACGATTGTGAATGTTGCGTTTAGTACATGCACTAACATCCATATCCATCTCACAAATATACACCTGCAAAAGAAATTAACTTCCTGCAAGAAAAAATCACTAACACCTCACCAAATCAGCAACATTCATCAACCTTAAATTTCTACCCACTTACACCAAGTGAGTTATCCATAAACTATAAATACTATATACCCAATTCCAACAACACAAATGACTGAAATTATGCAGGAAATGTGCAGAAATAATAATTAATTTGTACCATTATTCCACGCTTCCAAAATGAAGGAACATCTATTTCTTTGCCAAGATGACCTGAAACTGATCTTATGCTACTACAGAAACGAATCAGTCAACATATAAATATAATAACAAAAAATAGACTGAATAAGGACCAAACAATGCCAATCATACTTTCCTCAGTTTAATTTCATTCACATATAAAACTGTCTGGTTGTAAACCAATCCCTGTAGACTGAATGGGAAATCCTAAAAACTAAACACATGGCAGAAATAACACAGTTTTCCTGAAAAAATCTGATAACTGATACTACTAAAAAAATATTTCATAAAGTATGTTTTTAAAGCCATTAATATTCCATACAAGTGACAACTATATGGAACATTCTTTGTTGAACAATACAAACTCATTCAGCCAATCAAGACTTTTTAAACGTTATAGAAGCCAAAGGGAAAAGATAAGTGTTTCAAAATATTCAAAATACAGGTACCAACTGACACAATTGCAGGAAAAGACCTTAAGACATACCTGGAATCCCTTTTGTTTAGCATAGCTCCACATTTCTTCAAAGTGTTTCACTTGATGGTTCACGCAGTCTACGATGATGAAAGGGAAATAGCCATCATTCACTGTTTTTCGAAAAGCCTTCAGCAATGAGTTGCGATAATGCTTTTCCATTGCTGCTTCATATTCATATTCCATAACCTAGCAACAAGGAGAAAACATAATCATTGCTGTTATAATTACAGATTACACTGTACAAGCACAATTCATAAATAATGGAAAATAATGACAAAGGTTGCAGTAACAATTACCAATAAATCTAATGAAAATGTGAGTACAAAGTTATATCACATGTGAATAAACACAAAATCTCAGTAATTTATTCATACAGCATAAAATAAATATTAAAACACATTTCTTTCGTTATATTAGTACTAAATCAAAACTACCTTGGTGATGACTTTGCGTCCAGTCTCTGGATCTTTGTCCTCTTTCTCAATTTCGACCATGAAGTAGTCATCTAGAGCTAATATCCTTGGGGCTGAACCACCCATCTCAACTTCTTTATCCTGAGAATAGAAAGGAAACTGTTAACACAGAAGTAAGATGAACATTCTTTCACCAAACTCAGTTAACAACTAGCACAAAGCACAATCAACACTCAAGAATTCATTGAAGCTTACAGTCTTATTCCTTCCCTGCACAAAACGAACACAATGGTTTACCCTAAAATCAATCGACCATCACTCCATACTTATCTGTCATCACCCTGCAATGTAAGTGACAGCCCTAACCAAGAAATGCATTATCATACCGTCCTGAGTTTGGGGCTCTGTCTCTGATCCGAAACTTGGCTGGTCTTCGAGTAAAGGTAGTTCAGCTTAGTTTTAAAACCCACACATTTAATTTTAAATATGTTTTGATATCCAATAAAGGAATAAAAGATTTTAGCTTTTTAATAATTTGTTTCCTCTTTCTGCTGTTGAGGGAAATATAGTTACAGTACAGAAGAAAGATTATGATGGTAACATGTTACTGGAAGTACACAGTGACTAACAATGATAAATAAAGTTCTACTGAAAAGAAATGGACAATTAGCTTCATATGATAGATCTGGTAAGAGCAGTATTATGTCCAGTAAATGCATGAATAATCTTTATGTACAGTTTGACTCATCTCTAAAAAAAAATTCCATTCCACTGTCAAAAAGATCAACAAGAATTTTAAGCTGTGCACATTAGAATCTACTGCAACCAATTAATTAAGCCTAAAAGTACACCTTTTGATCAAGTCTTTACTACATGACATATGTGAAATTTACTGAGCAAAGAATACAGAATGATCTCATACCTTTATAAGTTTTGCTACAAATGTTTTTCCAGAGCCAGGGGGTCCACGCAGCATTATCACCAGTCGAGCAGGCCGAACTGCCCTGCCGGGGGGACACAACAGATCCTCCACTAACACAGACCGCACCTGAGTCTCAGATGGTGGAACAGGTGAAGCAAAAGTTGGCGGTGGAGGAGCATCTGGTGGTGGAGGAAAGTCTCCATGACTGCTGAAATGATAGTGATTTTAAATGACAGCTAAAAAATTCCATTACTGTAAGCTAAACTAACTAAATGGTGAGATTCATGGTGGATGAAGTGGTAATGGAGCAGGTTTTTCTCAGATTTATTCAGCTCTCCCCTATTAAACATTCCATTTTAAATCCATTCTCATTTATGACTGCCCTGTGAGATGTAAAATATCCTGGACCAAGCAGGACACAATCTTACCCTTGGTTATAAATTTGGAGCTTCACCTCTGACTCAACACTTGGCTGGTGTCACAGTATAGACATTTTAATGTAGGGGATTAACTGAATATATGCTCACCTGTATATACAGAATATTCCTTTCACTGGGCTATAAATGCTATTATGTAAACAGGAGACCATGAGCTCAATTAACGGCTTTATGGGATTTCATTCAGCCACATACAATGCCTAACATGCTGATAGAAACAATAGACGTGGGTAAACAGGACAATGTGAAAGACCTGAAGTTTTCACGGTAACTGAATTCAATAAAATTTTCTTGCACAAGCTGTGGACAAAAGCACACAACTGACATGGTTCATTGCCCGAAAAATTTTCTTGAGGACAATGTAACGTGCCACAATCCACAGTTATACAAACAGTATTATGAACATTCCCCATGCTATGTCAATTACTAAAACATAAGATTTATAAGACATCCAACTAAAGGAGAACAAAACATGTACCTACAAAAGATAATTAATAGAACAGAGTCTTCAGAAAAAACCTGCAATTATTTTGTTTGCAAAACTTAGACAAAAAAAAGGAAAATGTATTTTTACTAATTCGTCTAAAAATAATTTAACTAAAAAACAGTGAAGATAATCATAAGATGTCTGCCTTATAAACAAAGGCAAATCATTTTATGTCCAAATGTTGGAATGAAAACTGCAAAACAAAATTAACATAAAACATGAAGTTTGTCTTCATATTCAACACTTCCCTATGTATGCTCCACAAACCTTCTTTGATCCAGTAAATATGTGTAGACATAGAAAGATACCAAATGTCATCAAGCAATAAACACAAAACAGACCAATGGTGCTGAGCTAAGACATTCAAAGTGTCAAAATGAACGCAACATTCAATTCTACATAAACAGGCTGTGCATTAGTATTGTAACTACATATTACAAATCATTTTGAGTAATTCATTGTTTTGAAAGCACACTTCCTTGATTTATTTCTCTATTCAGCAAACAGGCCTTATTCGTAATGCACAACATAAATATCCCTAACACTTTGATTGGAGTTTATTTCAAGACAAACTAATCATTTCTGTATTCCTTCTACATAAATCGAATTTACAAAACTAAAAATTATAAATTATATTTCTAATTTTCTAACAAGTAGAACACCAAACAGGTAACTGTGTACTAAGACACGTCGAATCACAGTTTTCTCTGTAGACTCTTGTCTTACCAGTGAATGTAGAATTGTGAGCCAAAGTTGGGCATGAAGGTTTTCACTTTCAGAACCTACCTGTCTTCTTTCTTATTACTTTCTCTGTAGCGTCCACCACTGCTTCCTTTGTTAATGTCTCTGTCCCCACCTCTCTCCCTATCTCGACGAACCCAACGATCCCCTCCGCTGTTTCTGTATCTATGGACATTTACATAATAACAATGTTACTATTTTTACCTTTACTGCATGTCCCCTGCTCCAGGCAGGCTAATCTCAAAGGCAAAGCTGTCTTCTTCAGTTCCACTCCATGTACATCATCAAACAACACAAAGATTCACAATGGATAACAGTTACAAAGTAACATACTACTGGCTGTGTTACTGCATACATGAAGACAGATGCAGCTGTTATAATTCTGATAAATACAGAAATAATACTTGAAACAGAAATTAAAATAAAATGTTTTTGTTACCTTACAAATCACCATTCAGCTTCAAATTACATGCACTTTTCAACTGTCATAGTTCATAATTCATGCACTTATGGTGCAATTTATTTTTGGAAATACACCCTTTTCTTCTTCAATTAGCACAAGTTGCAAACAGATGTTTATCAACAGCAGTAATACTATTAACATGTGTTCAGTCAATGTGTAGTTCTTTCTTAATATTAAAATTGGTTCATCACAAAACACAAACAGATAGACATAAGATCTGAGGTTCTCACAATGGTGGAGGATGATGATGACGATCTCCTGGATCATAATGCTGTGTGGACGTGTAGGCAGATACCAATGTTTCGAAGAAACACAATGACTACATCTTCAGTGGTGAAGACAGCACATTTTTTGAAACACTGGTACATACAGGTCCACACGGCATCATAACCCTAAAGAAAAATATTGTCATCATAAAGAAAGTTGAAGACACCAAAAACAAGCTGGAAAGACAATGACTAGCCCTTCATGTATAATTACATCGCAAATTTTGTTTTCTAAAAATGACAGACCTTAAAAACAAGACAAAAGCGCTACAACAACATGAATGCAAACACATATAACTATATAATTTTGATAAAAATAGATAATACTTGGAACAGAAATGAACCTGTTAAAAATGTGGCTACTCATTATTTTGAGTGGTTATCAAAATACAAAAGTGAGATGAATTCTACTGAAGATGCTAAATGTTTAAGGCAATGCTTTTGGACACTGATGAAAATGTACATCTGGAATCTGCCCAAGGGACAGCGCACTGAAGACTGTTTTCTGCCTCAACAATACTCCTGCCCAAAACTGCATGATAGTTGCCTCCGACTCCTCAGATCTAGCCCCATGTGACCATGTTTCCAAGACAAAAGCAAGAGCTCGAGGAAAAGATCTGATGACATCATCCTTATAACAAAATCAAATAGTGCATTTGCAGGTCTTCTCAAGAAGCTTCAAGCAACGGCAAAACTACCATTCTTGGTATATCAGGTTATAAAGGAACTATAGTTTGATGGGGACAGTATAAAGTAGCCACTAAATGTGTTTGGTATAAAGAAAATTAGTCCAGAAATGTACAAATTACACCTTGTATACTCACAGCAAATAAGTTCCTACCTTGGGTTTTACCTACCAAACTTCTTAATTCGAATCACTGATGGCTATGGATATATGAAACTAAACAGCATAAGCTGGCTCTAAATAAGCTTTACAATTGCAGCCAAAGCATTCCACCAACCAAAAGTATAAAACATGCACATTAAAACACAATCAAGACCAACTACCTGGCACATGGTTTTTCCAAAGTTATTCAGTTCTTCCAGAAATTCCTTTATGCAGTGAAACCCAATGGTGCATCAGCACAAAGGCTCATAACTGGATCATATCCTAAGAACTTCAGCAAAACTGTTAATCTGACTTCCTGAGCACAGATTATTTGGGCGCAAAAGTGATGTCAGATACTTACAGACGATGAATTACAACAAATGGAGAGAACAAACTCGTAGAGCTGAAATTAAAATGGCCTGCTGTTCTGCCTACATTGACCATATAAGTCTGTTCCATAGGGCAAATATTCAGAAGCTAAAAGAACAAGATTATCTGGGTGAAAGGCTAATTATATGAAGTGGCATCATTCATCTAGATTGACTAGGACAGCCACTATTCTGCCTCTTGAGTTACACTCAAGATTCTAACATAATGGGGTTAAGTAACTTGCCTAAATGAGAAAAAAAAAAGAAAGAAGAGTTTTCACATGCAGACACAGACAAAACACAGCAATGTTAATGTGCACATTTTTGCAACTATATTGCAAATACGTCAACGAAAAACATATCTAGCCCTGTCACAATGCTTTGATGTTCCAGGATATATGTCAATCACATTAAAGCAGAGCTACACTTACTTCACTATAAACTTCACACTTTTATTTCAGATAACAAAAAGGGATTCAAACAAGCTGTGTCATATGTTTGTTGATAATTTTCAGACTCATATTTTAGATAACAAGAAGGGAATTAAAGAGGCAAATGATAATTCATTACATTCAGTATCTAGATGAACTTGAGAACTAAGAAACTGAATTCTTTCTTACCTTAAATAATAATATCACAGAAGAACATTAACAATTTTTCTACATGTAGAAACCTTGCAGGATACCTCTAAATGACACACATTCAAAATTTAGTGCATGTTAAATAAAATTACCTACAAAATCCAGACTTAACTTCTTACCTATCATCATCCTCCCACTTGTCCTTCCGGTCATCTCGCCCCCCATCCGAATCCACCCGACTGCCACGGTCTCGCTCCCACCGTGACTCTCTTTTACCAAAGTCTATTCCAAACAACAAAGTACATACTTAAGAACTATGATATGTGATAAATAAAACCAAGCGGCAGGATATTAGTTAAGTTCATATAAAAATATTGAAGTCTGTAATTTTTGCCAAATATTATTAGGGTGGTCAAATAAAGGATGATGATAAACATGAGAAATGAAATACGCTATGGAAGAAATAAGCAATGTACATATTTCGGTTAATAACTGCAAAGAGAACAACTACTTAAGTGACTCAGGAGGAAAAATGATATATTGAAAAGGGTGTTAAAGAAATAGGGTATGAGGTTGTTGACTAGATCTAACTGATCCAGCGCTATAACATCCCATGATAAACTATTGTGGAAATATTTAAACCTTCAGCTTCCAAAAATGGCAGGACATTTCTTCACCAGCCCAGTAAATTACAGCTCAAGAAAGACCCCCAACACCATGGATTTAGCCAGTTTCAAGAGCAGCATCAAATTGGGGGGGGGATTTGTGAGATTTAAGATTTCCATGGCAAGAATGTGGATCCATAAAATGATTATGAATGACTGCAAATGATGAGTTAGGAGGGAGCATTTTCAGCATGTTTGTACTATGCCGACATTTGCATGAAGGGAATGCAGAAATGTGTGCAAAACCTGTCTACCAGCTAAGATTCAAACCAGGGACCTCCTGAAGAGACAGGAGCATCAGCCCTCTTCTACAGTGTCCTATGAATTCCCTCATAGCAAAGACCATGGAATTTTATACCTTTGATTGAAGAATTAACTGTATCAGATATATACGATTATATTAATAGATTTATGTATAATATAAAAGTGTAAAACAGACAACACATATAAAGTAGAAATGTTTTAGGAGGAAGATGTAGGAAAAGTAGAAATGTGGAAGGTACTCTGGCCCATAAACCCAAATATACTTCAAATATGTACCCCTGTCTTGGTCCCAATTGTTCTTCCCCCAGTCTCTGTCTCGTTCACGATCACGATCACGGTCCCGGTCACGTTCTCTATCTCTTTCTCTGTCCCTGTCTCTCTCTTTGTGAAACCTGTCATCCCTATCACGACCACCTCGGAATGGTTGATCATCTCTTCTCCATGACTCTGAAATAAAGAAGAAACTTATGACAATTCTACACCTTCATTCTTATCAACTACAGTAAAAAACACTACACTAAAATGACAACATACGCAAGTAACAAAATCATTTATATGAACAAAACAAATGGCTGCATATGTCTATGGCATAAAAACTATATATATATATATATATATAAATAAAATATTGCAATTTTATTCTCAAGAGCAGATATTTAGATGAGTCAAGAAAATTAGACAGATGGTTGCTAAAATCCCAAACTATCTGGTATCAATATAACAGTTCAATGAACATATGAAAGGTGAACAGTTTATATGGGCAACTCAGGACTGTGTTCCTGAAAATCACCAGACAAAAACATGAAAACAGGAAACACAAAATGCAACAACAGGGGTTACATTTATGAGTACAGAAGATCTTAGCGTTTCAAGATTAAATTAGTCATTAATACACTTTTTATACATATTAAGGTACAAGAGCAGTAAATAATTACATAAAACACACAAAGAAATTAATAGATCTTAATTACAAATGAGGCTAAATCTTGCTGAAGGTGGTTGGTTGGCTGGAGAAGTTACTGGGAGCTTGGTCATCAGGGTTAGATGACTCATGTAGCAGGTGAAGGTAGATGTGGTACCACAGGAACTTCAAGTTTGCCAGGCTCTCAAGCTGAAGTTGAAGAAATGGGTGAAATGGAAGCTCAAGTAAAGGCTAAAGGCTGCTCTTTAAAGAACCTCTTGATAAAAACCTGAGTTGCAATCATCAATTTCTGATTTTAGAGCTCCTTTGTAGCATTTCAGGTAACTTTAAATCTTCCTCCATACTTTGGAACTTCTCATGAGGTTTGTGCCATGATCATCAAACAGGTCCATAGCACTGTCAAGTGATTTTTAAGCCTGAAACATGCTGCTCATTGTGAAGGTTCTCATAGGCTCAATCAACTCAGGAAATACTTGACTCTGATTCTTCCAATGTGCTCCCCCTCCAAAGCTAAAATATCGTAAATGCTCAGGTCCCCTTGGTGTTACTCTAGCAATTCATTCAGATTCTCTTTATCAACCTTCTCAAATTCAACTTGCTAAGTCATGTCAACAATGGCTTTTCCAATGCAAAGTCTATTAGGTCACAGTTTCTTCCACATGCCATCCATACAGTGTGGAGCAAGTACAAATGATACCAACTGTCATTTTGATGTTAAAATGGCACCAGATTTCTTTGATGCAGAGCTTATAATCTACATCACATTCCCCGATAAGCCCAGAGAAGGTTCAAAGTAGCTGAAAGTAGATCCTCTGCCACAGAAGAGTGAGCAACTCATTTACAAGTTTGGAGACATTTGAACAACTTGAAACTAATATCACAAATTTTAGTCAACAAAGTTGAATAAAAAAATTATGTTTCTGTATAAAAGCTTAAACAGGAATTTCATACAAAGAGGTGAGTTCTGGCAGTTATGAATGATATTATCCTTCATTTTTTAGAGGAGTCAAGACCAAACACATCTATTCCTTTCAGTGCACAACAGTTTCCATCTTTGGTACGCCTCCTAGCACTGTGAACCAAAGAGAAATTACTTTACACAACAAAGTCTGCTCGACATAACTTACGGAAGTGTGAATCAAGGTTTTCTATAGATGACAGTAATGTAAACAAGTGTATCTTGTAATAGTGAAGCCATACCTGTATTAGGAACATCTGAACGTCGTGAAGAGGCACCATGACCATAATCAAATGTCTGCACTGGTTCAGGAAAATTCCCTACTGTTGATCCACAATCTGAACACCAATTACACAAAGATTTACATCATCAAAACACAGAAACATCAGAAGATATATTCATAATTATAAAAATTCCAAACACTATAATCTGTATACCCAACCCAATTACACCAACACAGAAGACCATTTATTAATTCTAAATGTTGGTATTATTATGCTTATATTTGTGTAGCACAAAATTATTCTGTTTAAAAACAAGAAGAGAAATGGGAGACAGACATTCATGAACAAATTTAACTATAAAAAGTAATAGCCATAGAAATGATATATACAAGTAAAAGCTGTCCCACTATACACCATGTAGGCACTTGGGGCAGGGAGAGGTAGTATAGCTCATACTCATTCTTAACCTCGGCACTAGATAGGGGTGAGTGTTCAGTGTCACACCCTGGTCGCACTTTACCCCCAGGAAAGGATACCAGTACCCACTGGAGAGAAGGCTGGATGGGCCCCAGAGGGTCTGAACGCAGAGGCTAGAGGAAAACATCCTCTGCCCGTTGGGGATCAAACCCTGGTCGTCCAGTCCGTAGCCAGTCACTGTAAAGACTGAGGTACCCTGGCTCATACATGTAGATACTGTAATTTATTTTCAGTCTTAACATCACTGAATGTCATGGCCAAGTGGTCAGAATTCATGCTTTGTATATATGAAGTCCAGGGTACAAATCTGGGCCCAGAGACTGCCTATCCTGACTGAGGTTATTCTCAGTCCATCCAGGCAAATGCCACAGCAATGTCTAATATATGGCAATGACCACATCCTTCCATATACATTCCAATTCATTATACAGTCAAACCTCGGTTCACGAACTTAATTCGTTCCTGAAGGTCGTTCGTAAACCGAAACTATTTTCCCCATAGGAATTAATGTAAAATGGATTAATCCATTCCTGGACCGCAGATGATTGCTTATTTAAAATTTTACAACAGTACTTTGTGCACAAGTTCTTAACACAAAATTAATGGAAACCATTACATCTATCACAAAAAAGATAAACACAACACTAAGCAGATCAAATATAGACGAAAACTTAATTTAGTTTTACCGTGTGATTTGTTTCTGTCTACGTTTTAAAATGTTTCTAAAGTGACACATGGCATTATCACTGAAAATGTTTATGCTGCGGCTTGCTACTGCTTTAACGGGGTGATATCGTTCCACGAAAATTTGCACCTCACCCCATTTTGCACAAATTTCACGGATCAAAGAAGTAGCAAAATCAGAGACACGAACACCATTTTCATGTTTGGCTACGATTTCTTTCTTAACATCTATCATGATATTGGTATTTTTTTCTTTTCACTTTGCTGCTATCATTGTCTTTCTTTGGCCCCATGCTGGATCATTCTTCTACGAATACTGCCGACGCTGATACTCCCAGCTTATCGCTCCATGATGTTGACGGTTTGCGTGTTCATAACTCGAGACACAGTACGTCATCCGAGACGCTTTGTGTTCGGAAAATTTGTTCGTAAACTGAATTGTTCGTGAACTGAGGTTTGACTGTATATTAATCACATCATTTGATGCCACGTACTCTTAGCCACTAACAGTGTTGTTAAATAAATCACAAATAGAAGATGGCTGTCTTCTGGGTTGTTGCGCCGTGTACTCTGGTAGAAGTTAATCGACATTTCAGAGGTCCTTGCTGCCTCCATCATCAGGGCAATGAGTAAGCTGTGCAAGAGGAAATGCTAGAGTTATAGGAAACTGACAGTCAAGGAAGAGCCTAACCCTACCAGTGGAGAGTAGTGTCAGAATCAGGTGAGGGCATGGGAACCAATGAGAGTGTGGGGGCATGCCGCAGTGTGTGTGAGAGAGAGATGAAGAGAAGGAAAGAGGGAGAGGTCAGAGGAAACGAACCTTTTAAGGGCCCCTCGGAGACTGGACGGTGGATCACCGGACATGCAGGAGATGGGTGGACGTGATGAGGAGGAATCAGGCAAGTGGAAGTTAGCACTGGCCAGGGCCTGATGTGCTCTGAAAAGCGCAGAGTAGTGGCTAGCAGCCTGGACAGGGCTGGAAATGCTCTATGGGATGCTTCCGAAGTCCTCTGAGAGAGTAAATGAGGGGAACATGGTGAAACAACCCAAGATATCACCATCTGTATTCACATTACCATGGAAACCTCAATCTTACAAACACTGCTCGTTTACTCTAAATAATGACCTGAAATTTACTACACAAAAATGTAAATAAAAAAGCATGCTCAAAATACTTACTTCATTCTTAAAATAACAATAACAATATATTCAAAAATTTATCAGAAATACAACCTGAAGGCAATATAGCAAAATACTATTTGTGGCTTCAAACTCAAGTACTTCCAAGCATAAACTTCCATCACACACATGAAGGTATGATGCAATATAAATGTAAAGTTTCTACAGTCTGCTAAAAAAAATCTGAATATGATTCACAGAGGATTACTGCTGTAGCCGTAAGTACAGTTCCGTAACAAGAACTGATTTGATTTGCAGCAATTCTCTTCTTGAAGGGGGGGGGGGGGGGGAGGGGGGGAGAAAGGGGGAAAGAAGGAAAATAAATATGTCTGGTAATAATTTAAGTTTCATCAAATTACGTAGGTTAAATGTTACTGAAAATGTTGCATATTCCTGGATCTGAGTGCATCACAGTAATAATATGTATTTACCTGCTACTCCTGGAACTGCAACTGGTTTATGGCCATAATCTACCACAGTAGCCGGTTCTAGCTCGAAGCCCCTATCCCAATCCCTGGATCGACTACCATGGTCCCATGATTGTCCTCTTTCCTCAAATCTCTCCCAGACACCTTTAGGATTATCCGCAAATCTATCTTCTCGATTGACAGATGGTGGAAATCTTGAACCCCCCAAATCATCTACATTACTCTTCCAATTTTTACCAGAGGGAGGTCGATCACCAAACCTGTAATCCGACATAAATGTGACACATTATACTACCATCAAGTGCCACATATTGATCAAAATCTGTCAAAAACTAAAAATGACATAATAGTAAGTTCACTTAGGCCAGTAAAGAAAATTAACTGTGACCCTTATCATATAAGAATATGACCAGACTGCTTCTCTGGCATTTAATGGTTTAGCAGTATGCTACCACAGCACATGACCAGCTGGACTTGTGTGTGCTGTGCCCCATGGATAACAAGAATTGAAGACAATGAATAATGATAATACATATACAAATATAACAAAGTGCAAGATATTGAGTACGATCAAAATTTGTCAAAAGACATAAAAACATTCAATTAGACCCTGATGTAAAATTATACTTGAAGAGAACAAAACCTTAACAAGGAAATAATTATATAACAGCAACACTCCATATGAAATGTCATCAAGATCAAAAATTCAATTTGACACTTAAATAAGCACCTTTAAAATCTGGAGAGGCATGAGGGGGCTGAAGGTCACTATGGCTTGACAAATTTTAGCACAGTTCTAATTTTGTGAGTTAATCAGAAAGCATCAGGTGGTTTGGGCACTGCTGCTACCTGCATACAGATATTAAGCGACTTCTGAAATGTATTTTACAAAACACACCTAAAATTGCAGAGCAGTTAACTGCACTAAAATGCATAAACTTTTTATCATCTATACCATCCTCATAGCCTATTATGCAACAGTACTTAAAGCCCATTTAAACCCCGTAGTTGGTAACAACACTGATTTTATTTTATGCTGTCACACATTAGAGAAGAATAATTATATAAGATTTAGATTTAGACAGCAACATTACATTAAAAATCATATACTATACTATACTTATACATACCTTGAATATGGCTCTCTAGTGAAAGTACTTTCTCCTTCTCTTTCCCATTTTTTGTGGTCAGATTCAGGTGGACGAGAAACATCAGGAGGAAAATTTCTATCTTCACTGGAAAAATCACCATCTTCTCCAAATGAGCCAGGTTCTTTCTTCATCTGCTTGATACAATATATTATGCACTAAGTACAGGTAGCCCTCGATTTGTGCCGATTCAGAATAACGCTGATTTTGAAACCAGCAAGTCAAAAAGTGAAAAAATATATTTTACTATTATTTATGACGTTTTACAATGTATCTCGTACTGATTCTTATATTAAATCAAAATTCTTACATCGCTGATTTTGAATAAAAATTATAAATAGTCATCTCTGCAATTACGTATGTTTCGTTAACGTGAATTTGCTCCAATGAGATCGATGAATCGGTAAAAGCTGTTTGTGAAATGCAAACTTTTGCATATGCGAGTTTGCTCTTATGCAATTTCATTCCTGGTGCTTTAAACTTTCAAAGAACTAATTTAATCTCTGCAGAGGTACCAGGATTATTTTTACTACATGATTTTCTATAGGTCGGCGTCTTACATGAATGCAACTATCGCATAACAGCAGAGATGACTGTACACATCAATCACATGAAAGAATTGCATTGCCGATTGTAAGTACATAAAATATATTTTTTAAATTCCCTTTATTTTATTTATGTTATTTCAGAGCTTTAAATGTAATGCTATTATATTACTCGTCAATGTTTGGGTGCTGGGAACGCATGTCACTGACTTCCCATTGATTTACATTATAAAAGAGTTTCAATTTACGCCGATTTCGTTTACACCGGTTCGTCCAGTAACGCATCCCCGGCGTAAATCGAGGGCTACCTGAACAATATAATCTGAACCATAGTATTTAACACAAAAAGAGCACAATATGAAAAGTACAGAGAAAACCCAAAGTTTTATTCCTCTCTTTCTGAGCTTCATTATAAGTATCCTTTTCCAATTCCTAATTGTATTAAAACAGGTCTAGTCATATAAAGATGTACACCCCCCACAGTATAATGGTATATATTTTGAGCTATGAATGGAGAAGTTGCCAACTGACAGTATTAAAAATAATGCTGTGAACTGTATACAAAATAATATACTTGCTAAGAACACAAACCCAAATATTTAATCATAAGAGTATAAAATGTGGTGGTCAAAACACATGTATAAATGAATGACAAGTGTACTTGGCTGTTAGTGATGCAATATAAGTTACATCAAAGCCCAAGGAAATTAATTAAATTAATAATGTTGAATAGTGTGTCATCTCATACACAATTCTTGCAAGCGACAAAAACACTCTGAAGAGGACAGAATTTCCTATGATAATTACCCTTACTCATGAATCAGAAAGACCTCAACCACGTACTTGCTTTCCATTCCTGACAAGTACAATAGTTCACAAACATTTCTTTAATAACTGAAATTAATGATGAAACATTTCCAAACAAACTACCTTACAGGAAATTTGAGTTAAATGACAGAAATGGAAACCTCACCTGTGCTGATGGACCAAGATCTGGCTGCTGTACTCTCTGTTCGTCTGTTCCAGGTCCAAATCTGCTGACACCCCTTCCACTACCATGCTGCCAATTCAATTCATCTCCAGGGCTCCTCTCTGAGAACGGGGGTCCAAAGCCTCCTCTCCCTCGTGCTCTTCCTCTGCCACCATGACCTCTCCCATATTCAGATCCAAAATCTTGAGGTCCTCCATGGCCTCTTTCCTGCTGGAAGTCTCGGGGAGGTGGAAAGTCATGTGGTCCTCCACGACCAAATTCACTATCTCCTGTATATCCAAAATCTCCAGAGGGTGGTCCAGAAAATCTGTCTTTAGGACCTTGAAAATTATCTTGAGGCCCGTGGACACCTTCCCTGAGACCTCCAAAATTATCCCTAGGCCCAAGAAATCTGTCTCCTGGCCCTTGATATCCATCTCTTGGTGGCTGAAAATTGTCTCTAGGTCCTTGAAACCCACCATCTCTAAGTCCCTGAAAATTGTCTCTGGGTCCTTGACATCCATCTCCTGGACCCTGGATATTATCTCGTAACCCATGAAAATTGTCTTTTGGACCAAAAAAATTATCCCTTGGACCCTGGAAATAATCTCTAGGTCCCTGTGATCGATCCAATGGTCCTTGGAAATTATCCCTCGTACCTTGAAAACTATCTTTAGGTCCTTGGAAATTATCCTTCATGCCTTGAACATTGTCCTTTCTAGGTCCATCAAACCAAGATTGAGCTTGGTTCCAGCCTACTTTGTTAGAGCTATCCCCACCTTCGCCCCATGGCCGAGGCCCCGAAGCACTTCCAAACTGACCAGGACCAAAACTCTGGTTATTCTGAGGACCAAAATTATTGGATCCAAAGCCCTGGTTATTACCCTGAAATCCCATTCCTGGAGAACCTTGGTTAATGGATCCATAACCCCGAATTCCTGGACCAAAAGCTTGATTACTGGAAGTGTAACCTAGATTTCCATCTGGACCCAATCCATGTGAACCTATGCAGTTTTGTGGTCCAAATCCATGAGGATTTATTGCATCATGATTTCCGAGACCCATAGATCTGTTGGACCCTTGATTTCCTGTTCCAAATGACTGGTTAGAACCTTGATTTCCAACACCATGTGACTGATTCAGACCTTGAGCTCCAGGGCCAAAGTTCTGTGTATTTGGCTGGTTTCCATGATTACCAATGATCTTATTTCCTCCAGGCCCAAAGTTCTGGTTGCTTGGCCCTTGATGAAAGGGACCTTTGGGCGGTGAACTAAAACCTTGCACATTTGGAGTATTCTGACTTCCAGGTCGAAAAACTTGGTTATTCAAAGGAAATTTGCTATCAGGACCAAAATCTTGTACACCTGATTGCTGAAATGGCAATTTACTAGGTGGTCTGCCTGTCCCATGACCTTGATCATTTGGCTGCTCAGTGGAAGTGGGTGCTAGCACAGGCCCAATTAAGCCACTAGGGTTCACAGATTTATCCAAAGCCCTCTCATCTATATCATGACCAAGTGACAACTCTCTCTCTTCCGCTGAAGCTTTGGCATCGTTCTTCTGCTTGTTCTGTTCCACAAGAAGATTTAATCCAGGAATTCCATCTGCTGTGTTCTTAATAAAATCTAGTTTCACTGCATTATTTTTTTCATCTTTCTCATCTGATGGTGTATCTCCTTCAGCAATGTCCTTGTTCTCTTCCCCAGATGATTTTGGTGCAGATGGTAACTGCTGGGCATGAATAGCACTCAGCATATTTGGTGGTTTCTGTGATAATGAAGATCCTCCAATATCTCCTGATACCTGGTTTGACCCTGCTAGCATTACTTTTGTGTCCGGTTGTCCCAAAGATGGTGGTGGAACACTAAAATTACCAGGTAATACAGGAATGTCATGTTGAGAAGCATTACCCCCAGAATTACTTGGTCCTCTATTTGGTCCACACTGCAGCATTTTGGGCTCTTGTTTTGATGGTGCTGGACCTCCAAATCCAGGCCCACTTTTACAGTCCTGAATAGGTCCACATGAAGATCCAAAACCTTGTTGAGACAATGCATGCTGTGTGCCAAAACTATCATGTCCTGCACCACCAGGCCCACCAATCACTGATCTTTGACCAATACAATGCTCCCCAAAGTTTCCCGATGGTTCAGATCCTCCTGCTTTAGCACCATGATCCTGCTGTGACATTCCATAGCCACCAAAATCTCCAGCTGCACTTAGACCAGACTTCTGGTCTCTGAAACCACCTCCCACATTCTGTTCTTGTGACAAGTGAGTACCTCCAAAACCTTCAGAACCTCTATTAGAGGAATCTTGAATTCCACGAAAATGATCTTGCCCCATATTTGAACCATTTCTGTCAAAGCCGCCACCACGTCCTCCTCTACCTCTTGCAGGGGATGAGCTGGTTCCAACCCGATTAGAAAGGTCAGATTGGAAGACCTCACCACTTGATTCCTGTTAAAAAATTGAATTTGTTTAATTTCTATGAAGGAGCATTTCTAAATCATTATCGTATTTTAGTTATGATACACCAACCTGTGTTGCTATAATGCCAAGGATTACAGTAATAATCTGACATGTGTACAAGATAAGCATTACAAACGATGCTTAAAATTAATATTTATGGACAAGACTCTCAGAATATTAAAAATGATGGTAATCTGTCTTAACAATTTCCTTTGCTTCATGTTTGTGTGATGTGATTTTGGGTGTCCTGAGGCAGGCTCTTTTAAACATGGTAATGAAACTTCAAGTTGCATAAAACAAAAGGAAATTTTGATTAGCAAAGAGTTTATCTTCTGAAGAAGGGTTCTACTCCATGAAATTTAGTTACACATTCCCTTTCTTCATGTGAGAGAAAATCTACAAGTACAATCTTATGTGAGATTTGAAGTAATAAAGATGTTGATGTTGGCATTCTTGGTTATAATACTGTGTGACTTGTATGCAGACTGCATATGGTCTTCATCTTCAGGTCTTCAGCCTACAACTCCACACAGCTTTAAAACCCAGATACCACACATCGACAGTACAAACTCAGATTAATTGGATTAGAGATGCCAATTTCAAAATTTGGTCATGTACTGCCTATGCCCTTAACTTACTGTAGCTTGGCCATTTGCAATATGCACCTAAGTGACTATGATACTTGCTACACAAAAACTAAAATGTTATGTTTATACTCAGCAAAAATAATCCTCTGGAAACTAAAAAAGTAACATAAAGAAGTTCTCCCACAAGATAAATTTCTGTATAACTGTAGTAACACATCAAATAAACTTACAGCCAACTTATTTGATGATTCCCTTTTCTTCCTCATCTGCTCTCTGCGCTGTAAGAGATGTTCACGCCAGCTGCTCCACTGGGCCTCGTATTCAAGATATTGAGTCTATACAATTTAAACAAATTATGGCATGTCAGATTTGAAGTCTTCCATTATTCTAACAAAAGTGCCAACATTAAAATAGGCAACTAACCTTATCAGGATGGTCAATATTCTGTTCCTTCCATTTATTAAACTGTTCTTCCCATTGTTTAAACTGAAGGTCAAAAGTCTTCTCGGCTGCAGATAACTCATCTGGATTATCCTACATGACAAAAAACTGCATTGAAAATCAATGAAACAATGGGTTATATTATTATGAGAAAACTTTTAAAATGAAATATGTTTGCAGCACTGGTAGCAAATACAGTTACGGGTGATCATGTGGCACACTAGCAGTTGACCGGAAGCTGTGTGCCAAAATAGGCATGTCAGAGCAAAGAGGAACAGTGCGGCACAGTTAAATGGTGGTATTATAAGTGCAGACTTCATCTAAACAGAATCAATTGGCTGGCATTCAAGGAATATGACATCAACACCAATGCACAAAGCTTTTGTGGAAATCTCCAAGTTCTTTCTACCACCATCAACAGAAAGTATCCTGATATGCTCACAAGTACTGTCATGTAGCCTACAATGTCCAGGACATGCTGCACTCCATACACTGGAAGGTGCCAGACAACCCCCATACAACCCAAATATATCACATCAATTCCATGCACTTAGCTCCCCACAAGAAATTACCAAAGGGCGGAATGTTAGGGTCAGAAGTAGACATCAGGGACACAGTAGTGTAGTGGTCCCAACAGAAGACCAGGGAGTTCTTTGCAGAGAGAATCAATTCACTGGTATGACAACAGGATTCCTGACTCAATGCCTCTGGGGGCAATTTTTAATGGCCTCCACTCTTTCGCTCAGAACAATCTTCAAAGGGGTTCGATCTCAACAAGACTCATATTTAAAGCTCCCCAGCACTGCAATATCATAATGAACTACACAGATAGGTCTTTAGGATCTGTTCTCACCATCATCATGCCAACAAAGGTCAAGCATTCTTTACACGCAAAGATAAACTGATCCAAAACACTGTACGATTTTCATTACAATTTACAAATGAAAGTTTAATGACATATCACTGCTACAAGCAATTCCTTTCTTCTCAAATGTAAAGTGAATGTGTCTGTTGTCATCAACAAACCCAAAAAGGTATGTACTCCTTCTCACACTTGACCTGGGATAATACACGTGTTTCCCCTCATAAAAAACTGTACATACTATATATTGCACTGCCGCCAACATGCTCAAGGTGGGGGGGAGTAAAAAGTGTAACTTTGTTGGAATGTTACAACTACAAAGAAATATATGTATCATATTTCCTAAAAACAATTAAGGTAAATTGAATCCATTTATGCACTGCATGGAATACTATTGTTACTAACGTTACGGGCCAATTCACACTACATAAACACTCTGTGTATAGCAATCATGTCCTTGAATGTAATCACACATGGAGTCAGTTGCACAGCTGGGAAGCAATGACTGTGACAGGTCTTTGACCTGGAACATTATGGACAAATTGGATGCTTGAAAAGGTTACTATGACCACCAGACCAATCTTTAAAACTGAGTAAAGAACTTCATCCACACAGAAATATTGTCTGTGCTGGTTTTCTAAGGATGCTTCTATTTCCTGTGACATTCATTAAATAAATTCTATTGCACATTAATAACAAACTGTCAACTGTGCATTATCAATCAATCTACTATTCAATCAAAATACAGAATGTTAAAATCTTAGCTTCAAAGGGTTAAATAATTCTACTTCATTAATTAAAATACTAACATAGATTCCACATTTCATTTTCTTCAGAAACTTTCTATTGCATTTTACACAGACACTTTGTGAGAAATGGGCTTCATGTTAATGATTATTCATAAAAAATCAGTGACTAAAGGTATGTTTCTGAACAATTTGTATATTTTATACATACATGGTAAATGTTTAAGTGTTATTTCAATGGTAAAGCACAATATTAAAGTTTCACATATATTTAATTTCTGAAGAATTTATTTAAAAAAACTGAAACCATCCAGATCAGCTTGCATCAGATAATTTTATGATCTCCAACAAATCAGTTTATATAAAGAGCATAGAATAAATAAGAAGCACACCTTGGTAGGGGCTCGTACAGGCTGTAGCGCTGTCTCCCCTTCAGATGGCTGTTTCCAAATAGGCTCTTTTTCTTTGGAGGTCAGATCCCCCCATCTACCTCCACGTGAACCTCTTCCTCTGCCACCATGCTCTTCTCCTCTTAAAGGTGAAAATCCACTCCCATAACCCTCCCCACGAGACTTCTTTACGTCATCAGGAAACTGCTCTCGGGATACATCTCCTTCAAAAGGCCGTTTTGAAGACTGGTAGCCTTCACCTGTATTACCTTTACTACCAAATCCAGTATCAATATTTGTAAGTGGCGGAGGTTTGTTGAAATCAGCTGGTAATGGAGTGCCTTTGCTTGGAGGAGGAACTCCATAATATGGCATGGGATAAGCAGCAGCAACACCGCTGTGATCCCCAGTTTGAAAACTTGCACTGCCATGGCTGTTGTAACTGTCTGGCACATTCCCAGTAGAAATATCCTGCATTTTATTTGTTCCACCTGAAACCCTGAATGGAAACGGTGACATTATTCCCCTTACAAAAATCCAACACCATCACAAGGACATACTCGAACCTTAAGAAACATACTGAAAATTATTTTACTTGGTATGCATTTAAAACTGTCTACAAATATAACTTAGACTGTTTTCACCACTGACATGTCTCATAATAGACTTCCCAAATTGTATTTGCTTGCTTCTTGTGATAAATCAGGTAAATGTGATGTTGCCACTGCGCCAAAACACCCCTACAAGAGGATGAATAAGGGCTATGGAAGGAGAACATGCGTTTTTTACCTTATTACTGGATGGAAGTAAAGCTGACCATTCACAATAAGGATGCTTTGTCAGGTCATGTTCAAGATATCTACTGAATGTGACATGAGAGGAGAAAACAAACCCAATGTTCTAGGTGGGCTGCTGTAAAATTCCTTTTACTTAAATGTCAAATGTTGCAGGAGAAAATTATGCCATAGATCAATTAAGAAAAACAAATGAAATGGGGCCAACATCCTTTTCATTACCACACACTGCATTAGCTATTCATATACTTTTAAAAACATGTTTTTAGTTATGAAAGAAAATATTTATGATTCTCTCTCTCCCTCTCACCTATTCTCCCAATAGATAAGGAGGGATGCTGGCCTAAGACACTTCATATTTTGTATTTTGTAGTGTTTTTCTAAATTATCAGGCTTTTGTTTGTTCTGCAACCATCTTGTGGAAGGTGGGGGGGGGATTTCTTATACCAAATAGTAGTCCACTTCATATGATTAAATATGGTAAATTCTATCATACATATATAACAACAGTGGTGATGTTACCTGTACACATCTGCCTGATGATCAGCATCTTCTGGTGGCAGTGGAGGAACACATTTATCTGGTGGGGGCAGAGGCGGTGGGTGTGCTGTATCTACAAGAGCAGGTATTGGCACTGCACATCCTTGTGCAGAGAAAGAATTTATTGATTCCTGATACTGCAAGAAGAAAGATCCTGGTACTAACCTATTCCCAGTGACATATATCAAACTACAAACTTAATGTAATTACAAAGCTCACAAGAGCCCAAAACTGGACTCCAACAATTCATAAAATACAGTTATTAGTTTCCTATGGTGAGTGGTTGTTAGGCATGCACCATCAAACACCAAACTTAGAAGACCACCCCTTACTGGTTGTCAACATCTGCTTATTTGATGTTGATTCTGATCTTCTGGATTATGATGCTATTTAATCCTGCAAGTGGTTACAATGTTTTGGAAGAATGTATCATCTCCATGATGTTTTCAGAGTTGTGACGCAATGTAGTCCGGTAGAAGTTTACTAACGTTTCAAAAGTTCTTGCTGCCTCCATCACCATTGCCCTGATGATGGAGGCAGCAACAACCTGTGAAATATTGTTAAACGTCTACCAGACTACACAGTGCTACAACCCAGAAGACAACCATCTTGAGAACCTCAAATCATGCTCTCCATATTCAGTGATGAAGAGAAGTTAAAATCAATCCTGATGGAAGTAATACATTCGTCCAAAACATTGCTAGCACCTACAAGACTACACAGTGTCATCACATTTACAATTTACATCTTCACCACAGTGAAAATCTCAATATATTCATAAGACAGTACCTTGTCACCATATT